TTTACAAATAAAACATTTTTTATAAAAATTTTTTCTGTATATAAATACTTTTACATTTGCTATGTATAAATGTGTATATATTATATATAGTAAATAGTTATTATTTATGTGATGCACAAATTCGCTCAAGAAATTTTTCTTCTGAAAAATCAAGCAATAAATCGCTTTTTTGCATACTTATTCTTATTCATCATTTTAGTGATATTTATCAACTTCTACTACATTGACCTTGTAAAATAGAATTCTTCAATGGTTTACCTGCGGTATGTAACATTATATATACGGCAATTCAGAGAAACAAAAAACGTTTCAACCACAAAGTTTAACGTCATATACTTAATATTACTTTGTCCTTAATGAACTTACTTAAAATTAATCTTTCTCTTCTGAACGAATATTTAATATAAGACATGTACTCATAATAAATTCGAAGTTTTGCAATAGAAATTCGAAGGTTTGTACCTCTTTTCCTGATTGATAAAATCTTTGTTCAATTCGAATATGATTAATTAGGTGGAATTTTTGATTGACAATTCAAAGTCATTTTTTTTGATAAAAAAAAATTATGATATCAAAGCATTAATATTCTTCACGAGCTATACATAAAGCAAAAAGAAAAAGTTTTTTGTAAATTGAACTATTCGAGAATTAAATATAAATATCTTAATATCAGCTTAAATTTAGACATAATTTATTTCTCCTTGAAGAAATTCTAATTAAAAATATTTATAAATATTTATAGATATTTATAGAAGATTAAGATATTTACAGAATATAATTATTGAAACTTTTATTAAACTTGACTCTAGATTCATCAAAAATCCACGACTAAAAGTAAAGAGATTAGATTTCTCTATGACACTTTGTATAATGTGATTCACACATACCTCTCTTGTGAAGGAATCCCGAAGTGTCCAATGACGCTCTATGGCGATATGCGGATACAGTCAGATTCTCAAATGCTGCGCGTCACACTCTCTTAAATCATCACTGCGAACGATTCCATCGCCAATAATCCGACAAGCAACAACAATGACGACACGGTGGATCACAAATATCGCAATACGCGCGTATTTACATTCCGCGACTTTTACACGACTGTTATCGGACGACAACTGTGCCGAGGGGGATAGCTGGGGATGGCTGCGGGCCACTCACGTGTCCGCGATCACGCCGTAACACTGGCGCGGTTCGCGATCTTTTCGAAATTTGAAACAACGCACTGTTTTCTCACTGCACTATCGGACATACCACCGTCCTCGGTCGTTCGCGGAGATCGAGATTCGATCGAAATGTCCTGCGACGAATGATTTTAGTTTCGTGGCGACGTTTATTTCCTTCGTTCTTGATTTTTCAATTTCCTCCTTTTTCTTCTACTTCTTTTCGATCGAGATGTCGCGAGGTGTCACGATCGGAATCGTATATACGTAACACACCGAGTCGGAGCACGGGCGCTGCTGCTCCGCAATTGTCAGGAGCTCCGGAGTAGTCCAGAGACCAACGCGGCCGCGGATCTCGCGCTGCGTTTCTCGCACGGAGGAGGAGACGCCGATGCCGAGGGGGTGAAGGAGAGTGGGAGGGGGGACGGAGATGGAGAGCGAACCGATAAGAACTCGCGTGGCGAGCGTGGCCGATCGTCCCGCGAAATCCGGCGAGTCACGTTCGCGATGTCCAGGCACGGAAGAGAACGTCGAAAACGCGTACGAGAGTACCGGCAGGTGTACCTCGGCGGACGTCCACGCTCGCTCTGAAAGGGTGCTCGGCGGCTTTGATCTCGTGCGCATCCGCGCCGCGCATTACGCTCACATCATTGGCCCGACGAATCGACACCGATCTCCCACCATTGACCCCGGGCCGGCAGGGATTCTCCTACGTCGTCCTACGACTCCGACCGACGGGATTCTGCGATGACTGCGATATCTAGGACCTAGGGATGCCTGAGGACGTTCCATGATATCTGAGTATCGATACTCCGATTCCGATGCCGTTAACGAGCGTCGCCGGTATCGATGTCTTACTTCCGACATTCGGACAGATTGTTTTTTTTTCTCTTTATGAACCGCGCGAGTATACGAATGCCGCTATTAAAAGAGTATCGTTGTTTTATGATGAGCTGTCTACTGTCGAGCGATAAATACTTGGATTCGTAATTCAGGAATATTTCTTACGATAGTCTCGTAAATGGGAATTTTTTTATTATTGTGAAATTACACGGGGAGACTTTTCATCGAAAACTATTCTCTCAGCTGTTCAGTTATTCTATTATTATTCATTCGCCTACCATTATTTACTCCTCTATTATTCTTCTATACCAGTCAGCATTGGACGTAAAATGTGCGTAATATAAATTCATTTAGCACAAATGTTTCTGCTTGAAAATTAATTATAAATAGATTTTTTGTCTGAAAGTTATTTCCAAAAACTAAGATTTTACCGCTTGGTTTTTTCGTAATATAATTTTATTAAGGTAAATTAATAAGTTTTTTAATTAATTCCGAAAGCAGAATGAAAGTGGAACTTTGCATAAGCTTTGAATTAATTTCACTACTTCACTAAAAAAAATCCAAAAACAGCAAGATTGTAAAAGCTATTAAATGCAAATGCAATATAAAGAAAACGGGAACTTAAAAAAACTCTAATAAATAAATATATCTTCTATAATAACGTAAATAGCGCAATGTGAAAATGTTCTAAACGTCATTATAATAGTTAACATTAACAAAAAGTGTTTAATCAATGAAGTAATAGATAAAAATTTTTAATATTCATTTTTTTTAATATTCATTCAAAGTTCATTTAAAGATACAAAAATAAATGTAAAAAAGTTGTGTCAGCAGAACAATTTATGCAAAAATATTATAATAAGAAAAGTATTTAACTTTGAATGAGTCTGAGTAGAGTCCATGTTAGCGACGTTGGGGAAGAAAAGTAGACAAATGAGAGACATTGCAGAGACGTAGCACCTAAGGTGAGAAAGAAGAAGTGATGTTCGTACTATTAACCCGGGGTGGTAGAAGAGAGACCTTTGCTGCTCCAGGATTTTCGTTGAGCGCCATTACGCCGAGAATAAGAAATAATTGCATGGTACAGAGGGTCAAAGTCGTGAGAGCGACCTGCTGCTTGTGATCCACCACAATACCGGCAACCTTTAATCTTGTCTCGTCCCTATTTCTCTCCTTCAGTTCACAACTCATCTATCTTATATCCTTGTGTACTGACCGTAAATACGGAAGCTCCAAACTGATTTTATCGCGATGGACTGAGCCGAAATCAATTGCTTTCTTATATATCGCGATAAATTGGAAGGTTCGATGATAGTGTTACTTCTATAAGACCTGTTAACTTTCAATATAGTTTTATATAAATCATTTCGCTGAATGACGACCACAGAAGTATACCTATTAAACGTCCTTCTTCTTATCATCAGAAGTCCATCACTGTTAAGATTGATTGACATTATGTAACTATTACGATAATTTCTAATCGTGGATTTATTCATTTATGGAACTGATTATTAGATATCGAATTTTTATACAGATATTTTTTGCAGACATGCACAAAATATGCAACTTTGCACAATATGCATAAATAAATATTCATTTTTTAAATGCTTTTTTAATAATTCAAATTTCTATTTTTATATTATTTTCCAATCTGCTTCCTAATCTGCTAAAAAAATATGAAATTGCGTAAGCATCCGATGTCTACTGATTATTAAAACAGCATTAACTATATTGTACTGCAATTCCTGAAACTTAATTTAATATTTGAATAAATAAAAAAAAATTTTTTTTTATTAGGTGTTGGAATTAATTCGTAGCGTTTTACAAGTGATGGGAAGTACTTTCATTAATGTATTTTTTAATGCTCATGTGAAATAAATAACATTCTTTCATTAAAAACGCTACGAATTAATTCCAACACCTAATAATTCTGTACACACATATGTTTATAGTTGCACTGTAATCCTTAAAAATTTTTTTAACAATTTTAAAATAAATACAAAATTTTCTTTTTTCAGAAATTCTGTACACGCATATGTATAGTATGTATATATTATGTACATATTATGTACATATTATGTATATATTTTTGTTTTATTCAGTAATACATTTTATACATTTATTTTTTATTATATGTAAAATTGATATCATAAATAATATATAGATATTTTTAATGTTCTATATCAATGTTGATATGGATATTGACAATGTAACTACATACGCTAAAAACAGGTATTAATTTATCTGCTGTAAAGTATAGATGCTAGTATGTTTATCTACTGTAAATATTCGAATGTATTTGCAATAATTTACGCTCCGTTGGTAAAGAAAAAGCATTTGAATATAGATATCCGTTGATAAAGAGAATATCTGAGTATCGGTATTCAAAATACTGAAAAGTATCGACATTTGGTATTTTGTACCGACTGAGTAAATTCTTGGACGTCTTTGACAAATTAAATACTATTTTACATAAATAATTTATATTTATGGAATAGGATTATATGTAATTTTATACTACTAGAAAGATATTTATTTATCATATGATTAGTACACATTTGTCCATCGTGCAATCGAATAACAAAAGATGGTACTGATCATCTTATTTAGTATGTTTATTATTTTATTGTTGTTTTATTATATATGCCTTTATTGAGGCAACATCTTACATACGAGCATAATCGAAGAAATTTATTCATTTTTTAAATAATTAATTATTCAGCATATGTGTAAATTACGTTTTAACATAAATATAAACATAACTTTTTAAATAAAAATTATTTTATAAATATATTTTCCATACCACCATAATTCAACATTCGTACATTTATTAATCCATATTAATTATATCACAAAAAAAGAAGAATGAAAAGGTATAAAGAAATGTAATTAGAATAAACTATTTTAAATGGGAACTGCTCATATTATATGTATATATTATTGCTAAGCTTAAACTGAGGCTTATGAATCATGAATTAATACACATAGCTGAAAGTTTTATACGGCTAAGCTCAATAAAAGCGCAGTTCCGCGTTTCACCCAGAAGTCCGAACCTTGTGTTCCAGCTTTAAGATCTACAGCAATTACGAACGCAGATCTCATTTGGTCGTCGCTCCTCTGGGGATAATAATAACAAGGACAGCTGTAGAACTCTGTGAAAGTTAAGCGAATGTTGTAATTGAAAGTCTGTTTCTTCCAACCGCTTTGCGCGCGAAGGAAATCTGCAGAACGCAGTAAAATGATTTTGATATTTTCATAGTTATTTTACCTTTAACTTTCTTTTTAACTTGCTGGACGGGTTGAAAATGAATCACCGGCATGTTGTATATAAGTTGCATAGGTGCGGGCTCGATAAGAATGCTATTTTCTTCATCCCAGCCAGCACCTTCCAGAAAAATGGATCGTATGTATACGCCTTCCTAAAGTAAAATTATACAATTAATAAACTAAAATATATATTGCTCATAAGTATTTACAATTATTAATTATGACACTGCAATTAGTATAAATGTAATATATTTTCTACTACTAATCAATTTATCAATTTTCTACAACGCACGTAAAGAACGATTTTGCTGAAGTATCTATATATGAAAAATTAATTAAATATAAATTTGAAAATATTAAAATAATTAATATATTAAGATATTCAAACTGGTTGTTAGAATATTAAAATTGTTTGCAACATTGCTTATCATATTTGAGTTTTCTGTATTTATTTCCGTAATTATTTTGATAATCAAATTATTTTCAGATCTGTATTTATTAAATTTTTAGATATTTTAGTAAAATCGTTCATTCTGTGTCGAAAGGATTTATGGAAAGAATATATAAAGGACATAGCAAATATTGTTTATAATAAAACAATATTTTGCTTAATTTTACAATAATATATTCTCTAAATTCTTTGGAATGGAATTTCGTTCTGAAGAGTAAAATTTCACTTTTTAGAGTGAGATTCACTCTAAAAATTTTAGAAAATAATTACTATATTTTATGCTTATTCAAAGTTAATTATAGATAAGGACAATAGAATTTTCATTTCAAACTTTTTTTTCTAAGCCGGACAATTACAACTTACAATGAACAACTTATATGTATTATCCAATAAATACTGTTATTCAAACAAGTATAAGCTTCTTATAGTAAAATAGTATTCAATATTAGTCGTTCTAGAGACTGGTCCGATGAGCAATTAGTCTAATCGCTTGTAGTTACCACTGGCGGCTCGATTATAGTAGACTCGTCCATTGAGAAGACAGTAAATTCCCACGACAACGAATCGATAGATACGTTCCACAGTCTCGCCGAAGTTTGTAGTACCGCAGTAAGGAATCCAGTTGGAAATGTATACGCAGCTAACCAGAAGAGCAATGGCGGATGAGTAGTTCGAGCCCAATTGGCGAAGTGCTCGACTCGATTGATTAGATCCCTCGTCCAGGCGCCAAGCAGTTTCAAAGACGGATACGTGGTCAACCATAGAGACGGTACTCTTCCGTTGTATATGCATGTGTAGATTTCTTCTAACTCTTGCGACATTAGCACTAATCCCTTAATTCCACGTTGAAGTTCCTTAAGACTGTCGCAAGTTTTTATCAATAGTTCGTTATATCGTTCAATCTCTTGAAGAAGCACCACGTTTAGAGGTGTTTTATGTGACTCTATCAGTTTCTTTGTTCTTTCATAATTGATTGTTTTCGGTATTTTTGAGAGAATATCGCTCGCAAGTTGTATTACCTGCGAAACACGAAAAGATTGAAATAACTCCATTGACTCAGTGTGAGATTACTTAAGAAAATTAATAAAATTACGATAACAGAATATCTATAAAAGCAGAAATATCAAGAACATTTGGATTAATTTAATAATGTAAAGTCTAGCATATTCTTATACGGAATGATTTGCTGAAATGAAATATTTAGTTAAAAATTACATCAAGCTAAAAACTTAACTAGATATAGATATGAAAATAATTTTGTTAGATTAAAATAATTATGCAGAACTCTTAAGCTGATTGCTAAAATGTCAAAACTTTTTGCGGCATTGCTCATTATGCTTGAATTTCCAAAATTATTTTCAGATCTGTGTCTATCTAAACTTTTAGATATTTCAGCACAATCGTTCTTTCCATGTACTTGCTCTCTTTCATGCTACTATTTTATTTTTCGATCGAACCGGAAAGACATAAGCTTTAAAATCGATAGCTTCATTTATTTACCTTTTTCTCCTTGTCCTCCTCCATTTCGCTGCTGACCGTCTGTATCTGAAGACTTATTAGAGTTTGAAACATATTTCTAGCTTCCATTATTAGAGAAGTGATATCCGCGTTTGGATGCTGACCAAACGCTTCTGGCCTGTCGATATTCGGCAGAATCGCGATAAAGTCGCGGTAAGACTCTAAGGAGCCGTCGCGAGGCACGTAATAGGTGGTCAATGATGACAAACGATAATAGGAAGTAGTTAAGACGTTTTCTGTGAAATATTGCTGGATGTATGTCATCAACAACCGGCGATCCCACTCGTCGATCACATGACCACCATAACAGACACCTGCTATGAGATATTTCAAAGATTCCCATGGTGTGACTGGATATTTGTCCAGGTAAATTTGCAGCAAGTTCTCAGAAATCTGAAACAGATATCCCGCTATTATGACGATTGTGCTTCTCCATCATTGGGCGTCTCTTTGACGAGACGAATTTAAACGTTATGACTGGAAATTCTTGAAATACTATCTTTCTAAATAAATTGCAGATAAATAAAAAGCTTTCTACGTTTGCGCTACTCGCAACTTTTGCTCGAAAATACCTCGAAATCGGAATCGTTAAAGCTGTAGACCACGTTCCAACCGAGTTGTTGGAATTTCTTCCGTTCTAGAAGAATAGAGTGAAAGAAGATCAGCGTGAACAGCAGCTTTTTATATTTAGACTTTTCTTGGCACAAGTCGAACTGCGTTTCGGTGATTAAACTGTAAAGGCGCTTCATGTTCGCTTTTAATCCTTTTGGTGGTTCGGTAGTAATTTTTATCCCAGCTTGAAGAATCGATATAGGAAACTCAGGAGTCGGACTTGAACTAAGCCATAATCTGTAAAAGAATTAAACGCTCACTTTTGAAACATTTGCATTGTTACATCTAATAGAGTTAATAAATATTTAGATTTTGTAATTACATTTTTTTTGTAAGAAATTTTGTTAAACATATTTATTTTATTCATTTTATACACAAAATAAATTAAAAATTTCTAATACTTTTCTTGATTTCTTTCGGTATTACTGTATTGCGTGAAAAATAGCGTGAAGAATATAAGACAGTATTTCATAACTTTGGCATACCTAAATCTTGGATGTAAAGTTTGGCTGGAACTGAGCGCTTCCACGATTTTATCGAGCTTGGGCATCCAACTGAGCGAGAGGTGGCAATTCACAAGAAATACCCAAAACCCTTCTCTGGCACCGATCTCTATCATGCTGTGTAAGGAATGAAATAATATAAAAATCACTGGAAAATTTTATATCAAATACTGCAACTACTAGACATTAATATTATTAAGATGTCAATGTTATTAAAAAGACTTAAAACCTTCTTAAATTTTAGTTAACACTAAAAAATAAAATACAACATCTTTAAGTCTTTTAATTCAAAGTATCTTAAGTACAGATATAAATATATTGTATGAAGTTTTTATAATTAACCTCGTAGCAATAGGAGTCTGTCCCTGACCTAGCGATAACGTTAAGAAATTAGAAGTCATGTCCTGATTGTCTGCTAACTGCATGAGTACACCGGTAGGATTCACCCCGGGCGAAAGAACGAATATCAATGGTGTCCACGCTACAGAATCATCTAATGCTGCTTTTAGATCAAGTATAGGAGGTTCTATGAAATTCTGACCGAGATTGCGCACGATATAGGTCATGATACAGAAAGATATTCTGTCAGGTCGACAGCTGCGGATGAATAACATTTTCTGAAATTCGGTGCACCATTCCTCCCATTCGCCGACCAGCGGTGTAGCTTCCGGCTCTGTGCTAATGTACCTGTAAATGTTAAACGAGTTTACAAGAGAATATTACATAAAAATATATTTTTGACGATAGTAACATGTTTATATTGAAATAAATAATTATAAGTATGTATAACTTTTTTGTACTTTTATTGTCAGAATAAGAAAAAAAGAAATTGTTATATGTGTGTATACATATTCTGTGGATATTAAATGGATTTATAAGAAAATATTTTCATATTTTAATATAATATATTTTCTGCCAAAAATATTTTTAATGAACAATAACATGAATATAGAGAAATAAATAATTAATATATAAATGTATATATATAATGTCTTTTTTCTTATTTATTTTTATCGTACGAATAAAAAAAAGGGATTGTCATATACGTCTAATTTTTCTAATTGATTCTTCTTCAATAAAATTGAAAACTTCCATTAAGTTTCTTAAAATATTTGACATGTTATTAACATTCTTTTCACGGCTTCATTAGCAATATAGTTATGTGCAATTTAAATATATAAAGTTAAAAGAAGAGCATTGTAAAAATGATCCGTCAAAAATGGCTAAAGCGTTGAAATAACGTGACGAAATAACGATGTGACATTGTACAACATTGTACGCACCAATTGTGCCAATCTCGCGGGAACTGCTCGAAAGAAGTAACGACTCCGCGAAATCCAGGCAGCTTGTCGAGTTCCGTGAGGTTGTCCCAAGTTTCATCCGGCAGCCACGGCACGGGTTTGTCCGGCTGATTTTCTTGGTCCAGTACGATTCCGCCACGGAGCAGGAACGCGTATTCTCCTGGGATGATCTTACCTTGCGCATCCAATATCTTGACACACATGTGAAAAGAGAAGAGTAGTTTGTGCTGCTCGAACAGACCTCGGCACGTGTTCCTATTCGCAAAAATAAAATCTATTAGATCAGTTTGTTTTTCTCTAAAACTGCACATTTCTCTTTCTATTTCAAAATATCCGCAAAATAGAAGGTTTGTAACGGCGTCACATTACATTGAAAAAAAGCATATGCGCGCGCGTCTCGAGCTCAACATTTTCCAACATTGATTTATGATACTGGCTAAAAGATAAGAGATTAATAAAAACAAGACACATTTTTCATTAAAAAAGTTTTCTCGCCCAGATTATATATTACGTTATTATACATTCTCATTTAAATTAACGTTAAAAAATTCTTTTGAAGAATTATCGTTCGGAACGATATTCTATATGATTTTATGGAAAAGAAAGTGTTATTTATTCTATAGTTATTGTTTTCTAATACAAATTAGTGATGACAGTCAAACAGTAAAAAAAGACGAGGATATTAAAAAATTGTAATTGCAATTTTTTATTATTAATGAAAAAAAATTGGAGATTTAAGATTTTATAATTAAAGAAATTAAAAATTCTTGTACTCATTTATTTACCTGTAGACTGCATATGTATGATAATCATTTAAGCTATTGATTCTCTCGGACAAGTCTATTTTTTGGGGGCTTTTGTCAATGGAAAGCATAAACAGCGTGTTGTACGCATCGAGAGAGAACTGATACATGGGATCGATAATGTTCATGTCGTTTAAGATGAAAAAAAGAATCGAAGCACGCTTCGAGCACGATTGATATTCTTCTCTCACTAGATCTATCTCTTTTTCTGTCTTTTCAGCACCAGTCAGAGATTCTTGGATAGAGATAGACATTTCCTTTGATGTTTCGAGGGTATTCAACAAATCTAAGTCATCTAGAAGAGTTTCTCCTGCTACGCTCAGCAAACTAATAGAAAATGTATTGACATTTTGTTATCTTTGCTAATAGTGTTAAGAGTTGAAAAACAACTAATATATTATATGAGTTTATAAGTTTTTGTGTAAGAGCATATAAAATCTGTTCAAGGAAGATAATTTTCGGTTCTAAAACCGAAACTTCTATCGAAATATTTCCATCAGATCCGGTTTTTGAGATATAATATATATATTAGGTGTAGTAAAAGAAATCCATTATTTTTCCAATAGATAGCTTTAGTAATCTGAATGAAAACATTTACCTTGCTCATCACTTGTCGCACTCAAATTATTCGAAAAAAATAAATAATATGCTCCCAATAAGCAAGAAACATTTTGAAACATTTCAACAATATTGTAGCAACGTTGTAATGTTATTACAACGTTGCTACAATGTTGTTACAACGTTGCTGAAATGTTTCAAAATGTTTCTTGCTTACCGGTTATATTACATTTGACCTGTCGGAATCAGATTCAAACTAAACGTTCCAAAATATGTTAAAAAAAATTAATTTGTTTTTTTCTGCACTAAAAATGATTCAAAATTTGTAAATTAATTTGTGCAGAATAAAATACATTGAGCGCACGCGTGTCTGCACTTTTAAGCGGAAAATGTTTGAACTTAAAGCTTATGGCAATTTCATCGATCTTACTGAAGTATTTTATCCTCTAGTTCTTTGAGAGTCTTTTTATTGGATGCGATTGTGAGAACCAGATTGTCTTTCTGTTCTTCGAGTTGTGGCTTCTCTTTCCTGACTACAATTGCTAGGAGCTGCGCTTCGAGCCCTACATGCAGGACAGAGTTATATTCCCTAATCTTGTTCCATCTTTCTCTAAAGTATACAGTAAGACTATTAGTTACCTTGCTCCTTAATGGCAAAGTTGCATAATGTCGTTTTAGTTGAAATTTCTGGAGCATAGTGAGGATTCGAGAGTTTCGTAGTCATAAACAGCCGGAATTTCTCATTGTAAGTGATCATTTTGTCGTTAAATCGGATTATTAGCTGATTATCTGCAGATATAAAATAACGAAAATGAATCAAAATTTATGCTTTCATTTTATACTGACTCTCTTCTATAATGAATTAATTATATTCGAGTTTAAAAAAACATTTTTTTTGTATTATTTTTCTTTTTGATATAAATTTAAATTTTATGTTATTAATTATTATTAATCATTATTAATATGTTACTATCCTTTAATTTTAACGATCGAATAAACTTTTTTAATTTTCTGCTTTAAACTTTTTTGCACAAATGTAATGCAATTGCAAAAATATAATTATATGATACCGACATTAAAATTCTACCTGATTTAATGAAAGCTTTTTGAAGAATTGGATTCAAACCCGGATCGAGGGTCTCGGTGATATTTTGGAGCAATACTGGGTGTCCAAACTGAATTGCTATTTCCAGAACTCTCATAAAGTTTTCTTGACCAAAGTCGATTACTTTCAGTGACTGCAATTATAATTGTTACATTAAAATGACAAAGTAAATTCTCTGATTTCACCCATTTAAAATTGTCTTTCTCTCTCTCTCTCTCTCTCTCTCTCTCTCTCTCTCCCAAATTAGATATTTAATTTTACATTAAATCCAATAATAACGTATATATTGCTGAAGGGTCTAGTTAATTTCTTTGACAAATATCGGTATCGAATACCGAGCATTTACGTTTTTCGCTTCCATATTTTTGATCCACTTCATTGCCTGACATTGTGGATCGATTACGAGAGGCCAACGTGTTCCCTTTGTCACTATGATGCCGTTCTCTGTGCTGAATCCATCGGATGGTAATCCTTGAATGTTCCATTCTCTGATTGTCGACGGATCAACTAGGAACTCTTTGACATCTAAATTTGGCGATGTTGGTATTTCTCTGTTATAAACCTTAACCGTAAGATAAATTACATTAATTTATCATTTGAAAACACTAATCGCTTCTATAATATAATAAAATTAAAAGTAATAGGTTAAATATATTTTAACCCAGAAAAGAAGATTAGATCTAATCAGAGTTTTAATTATATCTGGTCAGATATGCTCAGACATGACTTCTCATGACTGCACAGATTTGATCATATATGTTTATTTATATTATATATATACATATTAAACATTATACATAGGATATAATCTGATCTTTAATATCTCCCTGCACAGATTGGGTTAGTTATATGTTCATATATAGTTACATTGTAACCATATATAGGGCGTAATCTGATCTTCAATATCTTATCTCTTTGCGCAGATCTAGTCACATATGTTCATATATGAGATGTAATCTGATCTTCGATGGCTCAGACCGAGTCATATTTGTGATTGAATCTCCTTGAAACTGTTTAGATTTGTTTAAATATTGTATAATCATATTTGTACTCGAATGCCAAAACACTTTGCATCCCTTCATGTTTTTTTTAATTATATATTACTGATATGTAGGTATATATTATGAAATAGATTCGGAATTATTCAATTATTCTTTAGATTTCTATTGTGTTTTCTAGGAAAAACAACAATTCCAATCGGTATCCACTTATTGCACGATAAATATGGAGAGATACATGCAATAAATAATAAATATTTGTTATATTAATCATATATAATCATATGTGACTATATACAATTCTTTAAAAATATAAATAATTATGCATAACCCATTATATAATTATATACATTTTATATAATGCTGTCTAATTCTTGTATATAATTATATACATAAATTTCTTATTATGTATTTACATAAATGTACATAACATTTCGTATATACATTTTAATATATGTTATACATGAGAAAAATTATTCTAGATGTTATTCTTTCACATATGTGAAAATAAAAAAAAACTATAGATATTTTGATTCATTTATGAAGAGAATATATTTAACATAGTCCATCTTCTTAACTATGTTTTTGATCAGATATGTCACAGCTGTACATCCATTAACACTCAATGTTTATGAATAATCAAAATAACAGTTTCTATACGATATATTGCAGAAGTTAAGATATATTGCAACGTTAGATGCGGTTTCGAATGAGTGATCGCTTGGGACCATCATATATTCTCAAATTAATTCCCAAATTCAACGAGAGACGTTTTTTTGATCGTAATTTTATTGTATGTATTGTGGAAAATGATGCTAATCAAAAATAATTATTTTAACAATATTAAAATTGAATTAATTGATTATATACAAAAAATTGTTTTATCGTGGTTAGATATATGGTATAGTTATATTTATTCAGATTCGGCCAGATTTGTAAATCAAATATGATTATTCGCAGATCAGATTTTTTTTTCCCGGAAAATTATAAGACATATATACAAAAAACAAAAATTATATCTTTATTTTCTAATTAATAACACTTATTGCAAAAATGATTAAAGTTGCATATAGTACATACCATTAATTTGAAAATTTTACGTAAAAAAGTTTTTATATAGTTTGATAAAGAATTACGAAGAAAAAAAAGGAAAACAAATTTTAATTTACCTCCTTTGACCAAATGCTTATTAGTTCCTGTCTGTAATTAGACACAAAAGGACCGAGGTAAGATATAAATCCGGTAGATATCAAGCAATCACCAAGCAGCCAGTCGAAAGACTCGGTTAATGACGCTACAGTATTTTCCCATAGAATTCGTTCATCAGACAAGCGGTCCACCAACATCCCGGCACGCACTAATTTCAGCTTTAATAGCTCAGCCTGAGAAAAAAGAGAATGTAATTATAAAATTACATTCACATGAAATGCATTTCGGCAAATGCAGACAAAAACGTTTGATAAAAATATTAGGTGTTGGAATTAATTCGTAGCGTTTTTAATGAAAGAATGTTATTTATTTCACATGAGCATTAAAAAATACATTAATGAAAGTACTTCCCATCACTTGTAAAACGCTACGAATTAATTCCAACACCTAATAAAAGAAAAATACAAGTGTTAAAATGTTTATTAAATACATATTTCTTCTTCTTCTTCTTCTAATATTTCTAATATTTCTTTTATTAATATCATTAATTTTATCAATAGCATATTAAAACTTGTTATTAAATAACATACATAAAAATTACATATTAAAAATTATTTGTTATCGCGAATATCAAAGATCCAAATTTCATTATAGAAATAACTTCGTAATTAATATGCGCAACATCGCGGAATAGACCTCGTTCTCTCATCATCAATATGGATTCGCCGGATTCGCTCGAAGGAATACATCTTGTCGATGGAAATGCGAGTAAATGCAAGCTTCTGCAGTTACTAAAGCACAAGTTTGTTAACTATAAGTGTTACCGGTGGACGGAGTCGGATTGGACCAAGCCGACTTCCCTCACCAGATCGTGCTTTCAGCTTTATGCGAGGTCATTTCCGGTGTTCTAAAGCGCGAGAAAACATGGGTGTACTCACCAGCGTAATCAAATTCTCCTTTTCTTTCATCTTCGCATCGTACATTTGGCGTAATTTCTCGAGCTGCTCGCGTATGTGCTGCAGCTGTTGCATTGCCTCCTTTAAGGCCATTTCCTTCTGTCTTAGCGACTCCAACGCGATCTGTAGTTTTTCCCGTTTTGGCGCTACGATTCTGCAATACATTGCGAAAGTATAATCAAATTTTCTACAATATGGCAGAAAGACGTAGTGCAGTGGATGAAATTAATCAATTAAATAATAGTAATATGTTACTTTAAAGATCTGTTTTACGTATTACACGTATTAAATATGTTACTTTTTCAGAGAAATTTAATACCGCAGATAAAATTAAATAGTCGTAATGACTAATTATCTATTTTAAATATTAAAAGCACTGTTGTTACCATAAAAGAGACTGTAAAATTTCCAATCAGAAGAACTTTAATCCGTATTTAAAATCAGGACGTAAGACATCTTAAAGTTAAAAAATGTTTTAAAATGTCTTTAAAATATTTTTTAATTTTACATTCTAATTTTAACATACGTGCTATTTGGGCGTCAAAGTTTGGACCAAAGTTATTTTGTTTTATAATAATGCTTTTGATATTCGAAATAAATAATTAATTATTAATCAATTTAATATTTACAGTATTAGATTTTTCTAATGGAAAGTCATACACATAAAAATCAAGAAAAAAGAAGTTCAAACACGTAAGTCATTTGCTTCTTGTTTTGGATAAGTTACCTGTATAACTTGCCGTAATTTTCCATAGCTATCACCCACATGCAAAGTGACTTAGCTGCAACAGACACCAGGCCGACCTTTATGGGATCGAATTCAGGATTGGACGTATACTTGGCTATTGTTCGTAGAACTCTGTCCGATATATGATCTTTGTCGAAGTCACGAAGCTAGAAATCAGATCAGAGCGAGTTAGTTGGAAATGAATGAACTTGTCAGTCGCAACATTGTCGCTCACCGTATTAATGAAGTTCACGTCACTAAGTTGGCGCTTTGCTTCCATCCACGTGGGTTCCGAGTTTTTTAGGATCATCACTGCCTCCATTACCATTTCGACTTTCGGCGGCGGATGCGTAAAAGATTTTATTTCAGATAAATCTTTCTTGCTTAAAGTTTCCAACGCCTAAAATAATTTGCCATTTCTTTGTCATATAATGTTCTACTTAAGATCTTATTATCTTAACTTTTAAATACCACTATATGGAAATACCACATTATGGTATTATGTACCCACTTAATTCAATTGCTTATAATTTTCGTAAAAATAAACATATTGTAAAAAAAATTGTTTTAATCAAAACGCTAGATATTACGAAAGATATCAAACCAAATTATATCTTTATATTTATTATTAAAAAATATATAGATTCGTATTCAGAACGCGTTATCGATTAATGCGTGCTTTTATTTCTAAAATTTTATAGTATATGTAACGTGAATTTAAATGTGTACTAACATCACTTATAAGCGCGTTTTAAATATGGACTATAAATAACGAAAAAAGTATTGGAACAGATTTGAAAAGAGATGGTTGCTCTTCGATTTGTAGGCAAACGGGGATCCCCCATTTGAAAAAAGAAAGCCGGATATACCATATTAGAAATTTAAAGAATAAATAAGCTCTTTAGATACATTCTTTGGTAAAATTCTTTATAAAAAATAACTTTCTATGAAGACAGTTATTTCTTTTCATTCTCTTATTCTTAACTTAAGAGATACATTTTTTTGACAATAAAAATTTAATTGTCGAGAAAAATTCTTTTATTCTTAGTCGTCTATAATCCAAAGTCATTGTTATCTTAACATTATTATTCATAGCATTATAATATCAAGAAAGCTGAATCACTTAATTAAACATCACATAAATTAATAGTTAAATTTATTAAAAAATATGAGAAAAAAATTGAAGAAAAAAAATGATCAGAAATTTTAATGTTTAAAATTGAATGATGTTTAGAAGAGAATTCTTAGAAGAGATAATTTAATAATGACCTTGATGGCCTCGTTCAAGGCAGGTTCGACCATCTCCAAATCAGCCCTTGCAAGCTGCTCGAGCTTTTTACATTCTTTTTGCTCCTCGGCGATATAAAGTGATTTGGCGGTGATCTGTTTTTGCGTTTCATCAGCGTCACGGCTTTGGTTTGCTACGCACATTGCAAGCGTAGCATGGTTAAAAGCGATGAACGATGCAGGCGGATACCGTATGATTAATTAAGTGCACGAGGAAAGTTAGAACCAGGGAGAGCGTTAAAAGCAATAAGTTTTTATAGATTAATCTGATAAACGCCGTTGATAATATATCACTGTCGCGTGCGCCGTGTACCTATCGTTACGAGGAATTCTTCGCACTCTCTCGTAGATTTATGAACTTGCTGCTGAGTGACTTCGAGCTCTGCCGCCATTTCTTTAACTTTCACCCGGGTATCGTCGATCTTCGAGAGGCCGCCGCGAAGTTTGTGCGCTTCATCTGCTAAATCTTGTCTCTTTTTCTTTAACATCCTGCGTGATTCGAATATCATTTATTTTTATCGAAAAACTCGCAATAAATACTGCTTATATCATATGTAATTATGTTATTTTAAAATATCGGAAATGTCTGACAGTATACAATTGCAAAACTAATTAATCGGGCCGTCATCATTATGTCGATTTCTTCAAACCATTTTCTGGATATTAAAAATTTTAGTTCTACGCACACATTATTATACATGGCACTGGCAGTTTCACAATTAATTTAATTGTCTAAATATAAATATAGACTATCAGTTGATTAGAAATATAAATAATTCAAAGAAATCATGGATATAATCATGTACGGACAATTAGTTTCATGGTTGTATCATATATATGTGCATATATATATATATATACATATCGCATTTGTTCAATGCTCACTCTTTATAACCGACTACCAGCTCGATAAAATTCACGGGAGTCACGTAATTGTAACGCTTCATTTCAGCGGCCATTCTGCGAGAGAACTGGGACACCGTGTCGTGGATCAAAGAGAATGATGCTGCAATTCCATCTCGCATTCGATCCTGCAACGGTGGCAATGGAATGGCCGTCGCGGATTGTCGCGGTTCCTGCAGAAAAGTGCATCCTCGTAATGTTCGCGTTCATTACAGTTGCAGTATAAATTTTTTAACCAGCTGTATTCTATATCTCTATCGTTGCTTTGTGCTTGCTGGACGTAATAAAATGGTTCCATATAAAATGCGTTCATTTTATGCCAGGATTAACAGCGATCCCTTATGATACGTATTCGCTTCATCGTCTAATATTCTCCAAATTAAAGCCAACTGCATTTAATACATGATTATTTCAGACGCGTGATTATCTATTCCATTCGAAATTTTTACTCGGACATTATGACGAAAGTATCTTCGTTTTGTGATATTAAAAAAGAGACATAATAGCACCAGGAATCATAAATGCATTAAGACTAAAAGCTGCATGAATAATAAATAATCTAGAAATGAGACGCCGTTTAAGAAGAAATTCTTACAAAGAAATGAAAGAAATTACGGTAGTTATACATATATTAAAAATATATGAAATTTTATGGATTTATTGATGATGGCTTAAACATTTATTTGTGGATATTGATTAAAGTATTTGCCTAATTGCGACAATATACTTTTGCGTATTTTTTGCGCATCGTGCATTCTTTGATACAATTTTATTCGCGAAACCCTGAACGAAACGAGTACAAAATGCTTTCCCGGGCATCTTGACGAATTATGAATATCAAAAGCATTTTTGAAGTATCCAAGCGACCAATCTCAGCCTCGGTGAATGGAAAGAAATGCCAGACGTCCGCAGACGTCATCAGGGCAAACCGTAGATGGGAAAATAATCGGATTCGCTGAAATGGTCGGCAAGAAGAACGGAGAGCGGAGGAAGAGAAAGATAGAGGAGGGAGGAGGAGAAGAAGATTGGTGGTAGGAAACGCGCGTTGATCGTAAGAATCGAATCGAATGGAATCGATCGCGCGGAAAGGGGAAGGGCGTACCTACCACTTTATTTTCGCCGGTGATAGTGAGCGTCAGATTGAGATTCATGAGGAACTTGTTGCCAACTTCGAGGAGAGCTTCTCTTGGCCATTCCCAGAACCAATCGATGGTCGTGCAATTGATCAGGGAAGGGTACTGCCGTAATCTGTTCTTGAAGGCATCGCCGATCGGGCTCATGCACAGGATCAAATGCATATTGGCACGCGCCCTCTCGATCAGAAAGGAATATACCATCTCAGTCGTTGGTGTCTTCCCATTCTTCGATATTTCCTTTGATAGTTTATTTTTAATCTGCGAAACGTAATATATTCTGGAATAATATCCCTCTGTACTATTTTCACAGTTTCGTTGAATTATTATTACACAAATGGAATTTATATCATTATTAGGACATTTAAACTGTCTGAATTGTGCATTATATCTGTGTCGCACGAAATATTTTTACTCTTAAATTACTCTTAATATGTGCTGCTATTCGCATCATTTATGTAAATTTATTTACATTTTTTATTTACATATGCTTATAATTATTTAAAAAAGGATTATCTCTGGTATCATTAAAAAAATGTAGGAAAAATGTATTTTCTGTATTTGCTTTAAAAATAACATTAAATATAAAAATATTATTACGGATAATATTTTAAACATGATCTTCAAACTTTTATATTAAAAAAAATTTGGATAAGACTACATTGCTTTATAAAATGATCAATAATTCGATTCAAAATGTTTTAAAGATATTGATTTCTAACATATGATAATCTCGATGATCCATAATAGATAATATTGTATTAATTAGCAGAGCAATATGTATTTACACACCATGTTAAACATAGTATGTGCATGATTAAAATATTCTTGTGGTTTTAATAATACAAAAATGTTTTTCAAACACTTTTAACGTATGTACTTTTTAAGGTACAAGATAAGCAAGAAGAATACGAGATAGAATAATTAAACGAGATATAAATTTCATATGGAATCGGAAATAACACTTCCGTTATCCTTTTAATTTCGCTGATTTTCTTTTCCAAGAGAAAACGCTCTAATAGAGTGACGTCACGGATTATATACAGATGCAGATGAAATGACAGTGGCGTGGAGCGTATTAACCGACTTACGTCCTCCATTTCATCGCTCTTGTAGAGATTAGCCACTTCGCCAGTACTCAGCATATTGTTGACAATTTCCAGAAACTGCTCCTCGACTACTTGAGTATCACTGAAGAGGAAACTGGTCGGTTTGTTCTCCACCCCGGTTATTGAGTACAGAATCTTGAGATCCTCACGAAATTCCGGTATTCTATATTGCGCCTTAACGGCAATTTGAAAGATGGACAGCTCACACATGTAACTGCCGATACGCGAAAGTGATTGTCTGCCGCTACCACCGATTCCAATCAGAAGAATATTACCGCGAGGCTGCAAAAAAACCAATCTCAAATTTACAACACTATTTAAATTAAGAATCAAATACATTTAATAAAAAATATCGTGAGAGGTGTATATATATATATATATATATATATATACACATATATAAAATATATAAAGTTGTAATATCATCACTGAACTCTTAACAAGATATCATCGGATAAAATGTTATAAGGCACGTCATGTGAATTACTAACCTGCGATATTACACGAACAATACGACATACATGTTCAATCGCATCGCGAAACAGAACGAGATCGAGGTGCACTACGCCAGGAGTAACATTGTACTCATCTATCTGTTCTTCCACGTAGCGCTTTATAGAACCAATATCAGGAAGGTCTTCGTATATATCCCAGGCATTCATGAAATTGCCTGTAGATATTTATTTTAAAATGAATCTTGATTTCCAAAACATAATAAAATAATAACAATAAAATAATAAACGAACAAAATAATAATAAAATAATAATCCGATATACATTAAACATTAATAATAATAGATAGCTATATAGTGAACAGAGTTAACGTTAAGGGTAGGGATATTGTGCGCGTTTACCGAAAATCGGACATCTTTTTTCCGGACAGACATTATGGAAGGTCAACTCGAAGTACTTTCCGAGCTGATCGTTCAGCTGAGTCACGAACCACTCTCTGTCCCTGAAAGAAATTGCTCAGCATTTTTTTCTCTTGTATTCCAAGCCAAATTAAGTTAATACCCCTTGAGCGCTTACTTCTCGTCAATAAGCCGATCGCAGAAAACTCGGAAACTCTCGTGGACCCACAATCGCAGGAAGGCCTGTCTCGAATACTGATAGTCCTTATGGCTGCGCAGCAACCCCTGGAAGATCTGTCGAGGATCGATACTAATTTTTGTATCTGCTGTTGTATCTACTTTCGTGCGATTATCGCCAATTGCTTGTCGATTTTTAATCGTGATACGTGATTACCTTCGAAATATCTCGCAAGTTAAATAAGTAATGCATCTTTGTTGGAGTAGGAAGCATCTTTTGGATCACTTGATTGTATAGATCGATCGAAGCGGACGTTATCTCATTTGCTAAGATAGATAAGAAAACATTGTATGTAATTGTCAAAATGCAATTATGTTCAATCGGAATTATTTTGAGCTTACATATTGCTTTTACTTCAGCGTGAAATTCAGAAAGTTGTTGCTTCAATATCGTGCCATAAATTCTTATAATCTGCTTTTCATTTGGAAAAGTCATGTTAATGACATTGAATTTCGTAACTAATCGATTCGTGATGACATTGCGACCTCCACCAGGTGGTCCCATGGCAGTTATTAATTGTATCCTCTCAATGTACTTTCTCGTTTGTTTTCGACGGTTGTACCTGTCAATTTTGTACAATGTATACAATAGATTTTTCATTTTTACATGGTTCTTATGTTGCTATCTTTTGTTGCGTTTTTTTTTGCTTTTTTCAGATTTTTTTGCCTATTTCATTTTTTTTATATTTTGCATATTATGATATTACCAAAATTTGTAATCGATCCACTGCCGAATCAATTCCAACGGTGGTTGCGATCCGTATTTTTCTTTCATGGGCATATTAAAATCATCCATGAAAACAATCATAGTTTTACCGCTCGTGGGAACATAAACTCCTTTCTTTCGTTTCTCCATCCTGCTTTCTATTACATTCTGAATCAAGAAATGTAAAATGTTCATTTAATATTTAAGACTATTATCCATTCAATATACGTTCAGAGTCTTACCTGTACGTTACCGGATGTAGTTTGGGCCGACATATTTACAAGCAGAACAGCGTATTTTGTGTCGTCTAGAAGCTCAAGTATCGAGTGAATAGTGGACGTTTTTCCTGTACCCACTGGACCCACTACGAGCACCGGAAAACCATTCGATAGAAGAGAACTTACGATGTAATCGTATCGTATCGTGTCTACGGTGGGTACTATTATCTTGTAGAATGGTAAGCTGTATATTGAGTCAAGGATATATTAGATTTCGATGGGAAATGATATAATTATCAGCGCTTAACAATTTTTTAAATGATTAATTAAATACTATTGATTTAATTTAAAATAGTTTCTTTACTTCAAAAGTGACACAATTAAAAAATTAAGTTTTTCAGACAAGAGAAAAAATTATTATTTAACTTAACAGAAAATTATTAACAAATCAAATAATATTGCTAAAAAAAATATTTTCTTAAAAACGTGATCAAATGTCATTTTTGCCATTTTCTCTCTCCCCCCCCCCTCCCTGCCCTGCTTCACAACCTCCAAATAACCTTTTTTGAGTTGTGACGATTTTTATATCCTACAAATAATTATAATACATCCAAAATAAAAAAATTAAAAAAAATTCACCAAAAGTGACATAATTTGTAGTAGGTAATATTGACAGTTTACTTGGTAAAGCTTTTACTGTGGTAAAAGCTAAAAAGAATTAAATTCAAAATAAAACAATTTCCTTTTTCAAATTTTGATTACCAAAACTGTCTTAACTCTAAAATAATCCGTGTAGAAAATTCTTCCTTCTCTTTAAAAAATAACATAATTTAAAATATATCACTTTCTCGTAGTATTATGATTTTTAAAAAAATTTTACATAAGTTATTATTTGCAAACGGACTGTAAAGTTAAATTAGTTTACTTTTGATAATTGATAGAATAATTTTTAAACTTCATTTATTCATGATAATAACTTGAAAATTTTTTAGTTATATCAGTTTTAAAGTAAAAGAACGGTATACGACTTAAAATGTAGAAATTACATCAAATTCACAAAATATCCTAATTTTTATCTGATTTTAAAATTAAATTTATATCATAATTAAATGATTTTTTTTGACATTATAAGTTATATATAATCAAACAAAAATATTGAAAAAAATTACAATTTCAATCATTGTATATTTTTTAAAGAAATAAAAAACAATTCATTTTTTTAAATTAAAGTAGAATTTCATATTAATTGAATGATATTATCATTTACCCAGCTTGAAATTTCCACATGGACGGTAATTTTTCTTCCCATAAAACAAAAGTCCGCAGACGTACATCTATATAATAATCGTAGACTGTGTCCCGTAATGGAAAGAAATTTTCAGTTTCTCTTATGAATTTATCTATTTTCTGGCGACCGTCCTCATTGACCGAGGCGCACAGTGACCATATCATACTGCAATGTAGAACTGCATGTAGCTATTTAGCTCTCAAACACATTACCATGTCATTAATTTAGAACTTATAGTTTAATATGACTTGCAAACCACCGGAGAGAACTGTAATATCAATGTCACTTAGAAATGTCCAGGAGCAACTGCTAATATTCGAACTCGTGCTTGGATGATGGTTGCGAATTTGAAATTTTGTTTCATCGAAGTGAGGTTGTCGCCATGTAGTTTGCCATCAAAGAGCGTTTTTATTTTAAAAAAAATTAAGAGGCTAAACGTACCAAAAGAAAAACCACATTTTACATATGTTGGAGAAAACGAAGAGATCCTCGCCTAATTCCACACCGTTTTGCGGAGTCGCAAATACTTCGAGAAGTTTGCAAAGCGACTGAACGGCATTTAATTCGGTGACAGGCACAACTTCCTCGCAATTCCGTAGCTTAAATCTTAGAGTGACATTGACGTGATTCTCGAACAGCCGATTCATCTAATTGAAAAGTGGAAACTATTACGTTTCACTGGGTCATGGCGATAATTTTCAATCAATTTTAGAAAATGTTTCTTACTTCATGGATGAAGTCTGATTTAGCACTATGTTTTTGCAACCACGAATCGACATAAGGTCGCCAACCGAGGTTCTTGTAATCATTATAAATCATGCCCACTCTGGAGATCGACGCGGGAGAGGCGGCAACCAAATCTTGCACCTCGAAGAGCAGCGAGACTTGATTGGGCATAACGATTCGTTCGTTATTTATCAGGGTTAATATCTTAAAATGCAATGCTTTTATTTTCAGGAAAAGCACTAGTTAATCTTATGCAATTTTACTCCAAGAAAAAAGAGAGGAGAAGCAAAAGATGGACGAAGTTATACCTTGTTGTCATCCATGACACTGTTCATGTTCTCAATCCAATCAGCGTCCACGGGTCCGTCAAAGAGGATCCATTTTTCGTCGGGGGTATCCTCTATCAAAAGAACATTGAATTTTATAGTAGCGTGTTTCCCAGGCACAACTCGTGTTAGCGAAACGAGCTTCCATTTTAATGATTTTCATATTCTTCCTTCCTTCCTTCCATTTTACTTGTATTATACATTCATAATTATCACAAGGATGATACTTTTACATTACCTAATTGATGTGTATGATGCAATACTAATATTTTATTCTATGCATTTTTATCCTATATTTGTAACGAATAAAATTTAAATTCGAATTTGCATAAATGGCGTTTTTTTTCAGATTTTATGTTTAATATGTATCTTCTACGTAAGCAATTCTGAATTACAAAATAAATGGAGGGTACTTTCCATTTAGTGATATGAGTTGACGCAACATTGTTTTATCTTTCTTATAACATTCAATGAAAAATAAAGACAGAACAATACTTGTGTCGATTTGTCATCAAAAAATATCCAAATATATCGCTCCTTTACTTAAAAAATGATACAAGTCAAAAATTAAATTTCTCAGAAAAAGAAAAAAATATTTTCCAACTTGACAGAAAATAATTAACTAATCAAATAATATCTACAAAAAAAATGTTCTTAATATGATCAAGAATCATTTTTGTTATTATATTTTCGTCTCACAATCATTAAAAACTACCTTTTTGAGTTGTAATTATTTTGATGATTTTTTTATAAAGTTAATTTAGTTCACTTTTGATGATTGATAAAAAATAATGACTTAACTAACTCATTTAGTAATAACTAACAAATCACGTTTCTTTAATTGTACCACCTTTGAAGTAAAGAAGCAATATCTTAATAGATACATCTTAAATATTTTGTATAAACTATTGGATACATAGCTTCTCAGTGTCTAACATACTTATTACATTACACATATTACATCGCAATCAACCAAGCGCTTTACCGGAACAAGTTTTCCGCATGATAGACGATATCACTCCGTCGAGCCATTCTCCGGTGGAAAGATTGTACTCGCCGTAGAGTTCACTGAGACTCAGTACCTTAGGATTAATGGGATGTACGTGAACAGTGTTAAAGCCCGGCTTTCCATCGCTCTTCATTGTCGTCATCGTATTCTGTAAAATCTTCCATGTTATGGTTTTTGCGGTGTTTGACGCACCGACGATCATCGTTGAGTGACGCGAACCCTTCGTTTCGTACAGCTCAATAACTTTCGTCACTATCATGGGAATTGGCTGTAATCAGGATAATGTAAACGATTGATTAATCTGTAACCAGCTAAACGATTTATTCAGTGATTAATTCAAATAATTTCTATAATTATATTTTTGCTAACGTTGAAAATTAAAATGATGATTCTAATTAGAATGATGATCCGAGAAGGATATTAATTTAACATACACAAATTGATATTTGTAAGCGTTGGATCAGCATAAAAAATTTCTCGATAAATGCTCGATAAATATCCTTAGGATTGACATAATGCGTTGGTCGCTTCCAGCAAGCGAGAGTTACGTTATATCCTTCCTAAGTAGATTACCTGCAGCTTCAACTTGATTGCCTCGCTGGTTATATAACTGATAATTTCCTCGTAATCCACGGTCGGTACGTCTACGTTGGGGAAAAGATCTGTAGTGATATCGAGGAATAGCGGTAGGTCATCCGAGGTAAGCTTGGCAACATTCATATCTTTCATGGCGAGGATAATTATCTAGATAACATTCAACTTGGCTAATGTAAGTTCATAGTAAATGTTCGCATATCACAAGAAACTGTTGCGTTTCCGTTGTCTTTGTAAAGATTTCAGATAAATGTAATGGCATGAAACAAATATCGAATTTATATTCTTCTTCTTCTTCTTCAATATTTGAGTAACATTTTATTGCTTTTGAGATAATAGATAGTAAAATTCTTGAAAAAAATTAAATTTATTCAAATAGTCACCTCTTCATCAAGCAAATTGGAATACTGTCGTTTCTTTTTGCCAGCATATCGAGTCAGCGTTACTATACCTCTCAAACCGAAGTCGTAATGATATTGCTTACTAAGCTGCTGCTGGGCGACTGAGTACAAAGTAAAAATCTACAAAGGAAAGTATTATGTAGAATTTTCAGCAAATCTGATATCGAAGTAATATTAAAATTACTTCAAATAAGTACAAAAAATTAGAAGTTATTAATTTATTTAATCTATTTAACTTTTTAACTATTTATATAATATTTAACATTTAACTATCGAAAATAGTTTCATAAATATTTAATGATATTGTATATATTGTATTATTATTATTATTATTATTATTATTATTACTATTATTTATAATTTACAAAATTGAAGGGTTTTCTACAAAAGCCAAAAAAGTCCATTTAAAAAACTCTGGATTATGCCATATTTTTGCTGTCAAATCATTTTCTATTAATAGCTTTATATCGTGAACAATTTTGTGGCAGAAATTAAACAGAAAACAGGAAATATAAAGCCGTGTCCACACTTGCAGCAGAACATCGCAACTGTAACATCCGTCGAGTAACATCCATCGTAACATCGGTGTACACCGCGTAACATCTGACGCGATATCGTCGTGTGTTAAATATTCGGTGCGATGTTACGGGATACCATCCACACATTGCGTCAGTGTTACTGATGATGTTGCCGTTACAGGAACTTTACACGTTAAATAATAGTGTCAGTACCCAGCAGATGCTGACAATGTTAATGATGATCGTATGTGATGAATTGATGTAGAACAGTGAGTCGAATTTTTTCATTCTCGAACATTAGTATCTTTAATCATAACGACACTGATATTCAAGTATCAAGAAATTCAAATCACCATTAATTAAAAATATTCATTGGTACTGATAGTATTAATCATAAAATTCCGCATTATAATATTCTATTGTAAGTATGGACACAGCTTAAAAATTTAATATTTGCAAAAAATGTTTTTGTGAAGAATAATTTATAAAATTTTGTAAATAAGAAATAAAAAATTATTGTTTTAGAATTTAAAAAATATTTTCTTCTTTACTTATTTATGATTATTACTGTTATAAGAGGTATAGGATAAATAGATAATAAATATTTTTCCGCAAGAACCAAACAAATTTAAACGTTATTTTTTTAACGAGTCATAAAATATTTATGAAAATCTAAACTTTGTTTTTATACTCATTATTTGTCGGAAAAAAATTAACATATTTATACAATAAACGGTTTAAAGATGTGAGAAGTTTTTTTATTTTTGGAAAATGTAACTTTTTAAACTGTCTATAAAAAAATCTTCAATTATTTATGTTAAAATTAAAAGTTGTTTAAAATTTCAAGTAACTTTTCTGGCTAACGTGCGTATGTCTCGAAAACCTTCGCTGTATAGGTTGATTTCAGCAATCATGCAACTATCCGGCACTATCATCGAGATTGGTCGAAACATAGACTTTAAATTGTCTGGAAGCTCGGTACGTCCAGCGTAACCAGGATTCATTGTGATGAAGATGCCGCAGGTGTGTACTAGAGATATAGTGTTGCCGTCGAGAATGAATCTCGTAAGTCTCTGGGCGAGAGCGGTCAGTATCGATAAAATCTGTTGCGCCACTACTGATAACACTTCGACGTTAATTCTGCGATTAAGAAAAAGGTGTAACCTTTCTCTATCTGTCTTTTCATCTGCAGTTTTTTTTTATTCACGTCACGTAAGAAAGCTGTTTGAGAAAACTAATTAGCTTTGCGTAACGAAAAAATAAGAATCCCTTATAGAGATTCAATACTGGCCAATTTGATACTGAAAGGTGATGATTAATTACTTATTTTGAATATTAAAGTATTGAACAACGGAAAGAAAGTACTTAATTATTACTTTAAATTTCTGTAAGGGATGAAATAGACAATTTTTATACAGTCTACAATAATTAAAATAAATATGTAAGTTATCTTTTTTTTTAGTATACGCATTATCAGATTTTCAAAATGCATTTTAGCATTTGCAAGTTCGATGAGGTTTATGTCGTTTTCGTTTGCGAAAATATCCATTCAAGGGCTTCAAAGATATTCACCGATTGAATTCATCGAAGCATCCCCAGGCGCCGGTTTGCGACAGTCCAGAAAATAATCTGCCCATACTTTTGTAGTCCAGCCCTTCTGAACAATTTTGCACGATTACGTTAAAACCCAACGCTTTTCCCAGATCTTTTACGGTCTCAGTTTTTCCGGTACCCGCAGGTCCTTTTGGGCTACCACCGCGATACAAATGAAGAGCAGTTGTCAACGTGATATAACATCTGCATGAGACGTAAATGCAAAAAGTTATTTTCATTACTTAATACGCGATAATACGTGACATATATGCAGGAAGTGAAATTAACAAACGTGAGTGCTTTAAGTACTCACATTTGCGATTACCGTATAATTGTTATATTATTTTGTATGTATTTTAATGTACATACGTTTTAAAAATAACGTTCAAGAATATATACTGTCGCGTTTTATTATACGCAGGGATTATGTTTCTTCCCCGTCCTATATGGGCGCGACGAGAATCTTCATGTAATTTACAGCGAATTGGCGGAATATCCCGACTATCAGATCCGTATTCCGAGAACACAGCTGCAATTCTGGCATTCGATTCGAGGAATACATCAGAGGATGTGCATATGCTCCGACGCGGTTTGCGATTTAATGCGTCTATTTGAACACAGAATAGTTTATCCACCTTCGAAGAAGGGAAACGAGAGGCATAAAAGGCACGGAAAAGATTGAGAGTCTTTTCCTGCATGGTCGGAACGCCGCGAAAAGTGGAGCGCGTTGTCTTCTTTCCGCAAGACAAATCTTTGGGACCGAGAGAGTGGATAAATGTATCGAGATGGCAATCGTCTATAAATTAAAACAACAAGAGCGGTAGCCTTTTATCGCGATTAAATCAATACCACGTTAAGCAGCGAAGAGCAGGACATCGTTTGTTTCTCTGTATATGTTTGCCCTTTGATGTGTGCTGCGTCGAATTATATGGCTATGCGTATCCGCGATATTACGGGTCGCATCGATCGAAATTGCATCTGCGCGAAACTCTACGTACAAGAGGAGTCAAATGTATACCTTTTGTTGAATATGATTAATTTTAAACATACCATAAATATGTATTCTTGACAATATTATAATTTAATTTTTTAAATATTTGTTATAAATTTTTTAAGTAGATATTTCCTACACGCGTAATTATTAAGGAGTGCTTAAAAATTGGACGAAAGCATTTAATTAAATAAATATTTATGAAACTTTCTCCAAATGTTCTATTGGATCATAAAATTATACTAGTAAAAAAATTTTGTAAAGATGATCAGGAAAGCCAATATAGTGACTTAGAATATAGGATGGTGCCACACTCTTTTGGATAATGTTTCTTTTCGGCACACAATTTCATTTATCGTTCTCTTAATCATTTAGTGATTTACGGTCTTTTGGTTATATATAGCATTTTCTAAATTCTGAGAAGGATGATGGCACATTCACTTGTGCCATCATCATCTCTACATAAAATCCTTTCTCAAATATGATTTTATGATCTATAATAGAAGAACATTTAGTGAAAGTTTCATGAAAATGTAATTTAGTTGAACACTTTGGATCGATTTTTATACACTTCTTTATTAATTTTATTAATTTTATTTATTAATTATTATAAAATAGCACAGTATTTAATCTCATTTATTGCATACAAATAGCATGATTATTGTTATATAATGTCTCTAGACATTTTATAATTTATATGAAATATGAGAGACAGAAAAGAAAAAAATAGAAAAATAATAAAAAATATATTCGTCCTTCTGACATTTTTTATGACTACATTACTTTCTCTTATAATTCGGTATCATCAGATTTAATCCTAGCTATATACACTCTTTTTTTATCCTTAACATACACGGGTCCCTGGGACTTCATCCATATTTGTTACCATACTTCTGTAAAAATGGATATAATTTTTTTTGAATCGATGAGAATTGATTAAAAAATAAGTCCATGATATGTCAAAGTCGATAGAATTAAGAAGCTTCGAGAGATAAGTCAAAGAAAAAGAAAAGTTCAAAAACTCGATTTAGCAAATTGCTGGATTTTTTGGTACCTTAGTGTGTACAGTTAGAGTTAAGATTTTCCGAGTATATTTATGTAAGTCCTTTTGAAATAAGAGTCAGATTTAAGTTCTTCCGAGTATAAAGAGCACCTCGCAGCTCGTTTGAATTAAACGATCATCGCATTGCTTCTACCACGTGTGACGTTGTTCACTAAGATATAACTAGTTACGTGAAGTATGATGCGTGATAAGTATATCATGAGTTTACGACCTTGCCTTAATCATGTAACATGAACTATTTGATGCGATCAGTATCGCGAGAAGTTCCCTCATTAAAATACAACGGCGCACTTAAAACTTTACCTAATCGGACATATGTAGAACGGTGTCAAGCAATCCCTGTAATCAGCCTCGCTGACCTAACCAGGGTTGTATTACACCGCCAATGTGTCGAACAGTAAGCATTACCCACGCCGTCGTGTGTTACCCACGCGCGTGACAGACGAAATTACGGCTGGCCACGATCTGGTGCCAACTACGTGACTAACTATAGCGCACGAGCGATAACCACTGAGAAACTTCTGTTTCAACATTGCTAAACGGGGCGGAGTACGGCGACCGACTAAATACGTCGCAATGTCACAAAGTAATTTTGCAAATGGTTCCGCAATCGAGTGCATGTACGTACGCCATTACTTGTATTTACCATACAAATTCACTTGGATGACTTACATTTTCACAGAGTATTTACAATATAAAAAGTTTGATTGAATTGGCGATGTCGTGTATTTCAATAAGATCATTTATTTTTTTTAATGATAATTTATCGAAAAGTACTATTCTGTTTTCAAATAAAATTGCACATGATTTTACTTTCATATCTAATCAAATATTAAAGAATTTTTTTTGCCATATTTTGGACTTCTTGCATATAATAATGAATTGCATATTGATCGATAGAGGAATGATAGACTACTGAATATCTGATATTCCGTTGAAAAAAGACTGCCAGAATTAGCAAATCGATTTTTTAAGATCATATAAAGGTCATCATTATTCTTAAAATTTTTAAAAGGATAGAAATATTTTTTTATATAATATAATTTCTCTAATTATTTTGCATATAAAAGTATTAAAGTAGAGTCATAAAAAATCAATAATTCATCTTGAAATAAAATATGAAATATCTCGTACTACACTATATTCATTTTTTGTTATTATACCTTAATATATCGAATAATAAAATAAATCAATTGGTATAAAGAATTAAAACATATAAAGAATTTAAATAAGATGCTTTCTAAAAATTTCATACTGCAAAATGTATAATTTCTTTGAAAAGCAACTATATGTTTTTTTTTTAATCAATTGATTTATCTCAATTGATTATTTTGTGTATAAATATATTAAGATACAGTTTATACAAAAAAATTAATAGTTTACGAGATATTCCATATTTCATGTCAAAATATGCCGATGTGTCCAATGTGTTCAATGTTTCAAAGAGTATATCTCTGAATACATTTTGATCTTCCAATAATAATCTTTCATTTTAGCTTAATTTTGTTATGCGTAGGAATCTATTTAAAAAAAAGGACAATGTTTTTTTGTGTATGTAAAAATTGTTTAGTTTTACACCAAACAATTAAGTATGAAAGATCAAACCTTAAAAAATAAATTGATACTACTCTTTCAAAAATTTACTTGTTAGAAAAAAGTAAAGTGAAGATAACTAAAATAACAATTGTAAAACGAACATTTGTCACGTTTAACTTTTTTCAATTAAGTGAAATATTTAGAGACACACATACCGATCTGTCAGAGGAGTTATTACAAGTCTTTCGGTGTTACCCAGATATTCGTGTCCGTATGTGAAATGAGTGTTTGTTTGTCGAATAATGCAATCTTCGATATCCATTTCCCAATAAAATCTTAGCTGCGACTGCCACTCGAAATCAGTCACATCTTTGCAATCTGGAAAATTTGGAAAGTTTGCCTTTTCTCGATTTTCCATTTTTTATTTGGATTAACGTAAAAGACATATAAAAATAAATACAAGAAATGTTATATAGCCGAACTATTGATTTACAATATTAATGTTGCTGAAAGTATAATAATCTAATTGCTTTTTTTTAAATTTAATTTATGAAACGAAAAGAAAGACTTGGAATGCCGCAATTTTTGATAAAGAAATTTGAACGTCAGTTCAAATTTGTAAATTATTATTATCTTACATAAAAAGAACAATTTTTATTTGTTGAAGTATTTAAAAATTTAACTAGATACACAAATAGATACAAATCTGAAAATAATTTCCATTAAAATAATTTCGTAGGAATCTGAAGTATGATGAGCTACAGAAAGTATTGATATTTTAACACACAATTTAAGAATTCTATATAATTAGTTTAATGGTCCAAACAAAATTATAGATCTGTAGCTAGCTAAATATTTAGATATTTCAACAAAACCATTCTTTCTGCAAGAACTATAGCGAAAAAGAATCAACATGTATAAAAGAGTTATTATGTGTTAAAAAGAGAAGAACTTTTCGAAGTATTTTTGTTGATTTGATATTGAAAAAAAAAATAATAACTCCACTCTGTCACATAAGTATATTTTTTACAGTATTCTTTTTCGAGATACTATCGATATACAAATTTACGAGAGAGAACGCGCCGGCGTTTCCTCACTGCGGTGCATCATATCGCCAACGATATAATGCCAGGACGTGATGCGGTTGCGTCGCATGGTTCTATAAAGTCCGTAATTTGTTGGTTACATCCGCGTGTACACGTTGGTGAAACAAAAACGCATAGTGAACGAATATTGCACGAAGATAAAAGGTATGATGGTGAAGATAGGGCATACGAATTGAATTTGACACTCACTCATTTTGTACATCTTTTCGATGACATCTCTCGCGTGTATCTCGATAACGACGATGGCTTTGAGTTTTAATCGATCCAACCTATTCAGATTGCCTTGTATAACTTCCGAGTATTTGTCTAACGCCTGGGTCTGCTTCTTCTTCAGCTTTCGCAACGGCTTCTTTGAGTCCATTATCCTTTAGTGCGTGGAATTAGATTTAGTGAAGTAGCTAATGTATAATTTTGCAACAGCACTATCTTTATGCAGGGTGCACACAATAAATATCTTCGGGATTTTGAAATAATTAAAACTAAATACGAACATACACACACACATACACGCGCGCGCGCGTTTCGGAGTATTTTATAGTAAACTAAACAAATTTTTTACAAAAAAATACCAAATTTTTACATGAGTACTTATAATGAAGGAAGGATATTCCACTTTACACCAAGTACGCTAAAGTATGTCACTAATTATGATATTAAGAGTAACTGCAATTTATTTGCGCAAAACATTCACGTTCGGTATCTTGATGAAATAAATTATTGTCATTGATTTACCCCCAGAAAAAAAAATCCAAGAGAATAATATCAAGAGAACGATGTGACCAGGAAACGTACTTGGAGTTCCACTAAAGCTGCTCATGAGGAAGTTTAGTAATATTTTCGTAAGAAACTTTTTCAGCCATCTTTTACAAAATACGTATGTATATTTATTTTCATTTCTCATCATTTTTCAAAATATTGAAAGTTCATTATATGTATACTCTATATAATTTATCCACTCGCCTTTTTTTTAAAAAAAGCCTCTAAAAACCTAGAGAAAATTATGTTTATAGCTTTCTTCAAAAATATTGTTGAAATAATGTGAATATCGCCTTCTCTCTACAAAATTATTAACACAAGGTTTCTCATGTTCTTGTAAAGTTCAACGCGTCAACTGAAATAAGAGTAAGACGACGACGTAGTATTGCAATATACTTTTAGCAATATTGTTTCGCGCCGTCCGACGCATCTAGCGAGTCCCTGTTTTTTCCGACCACGTGCGCCGTCTTTCGCGTTCTTTTTCCGAGACACTCGTGCAAAAGAAAGATATGTATGTTGGGCCTCGCGTAACATGAGCATTACAGGAGAGACTCGGGACGGGAGGGATTTTATTCGGGAGGTAGGGATACCGTTGTAGGTATGGGTTAAATTATTCGCGGTACGGCTAGTATATGCAAATGAGAGAGGAAGAGCGCTGCTGCCCGAGGTGCCGTCGTCGGATCGCACGACGAGACGTAGAATATGCAAAATTTCTCTTATTAGAGTTGCCGCGTCTCTTGTCTCCCTCGGCCATCCTTCTACCATGTAGGAAGGCCCTTTCTCACCCATATACATCACCATCTCGCCATCCCGTTTCCTCTGACTCGTCTCGGCGTCCATCAGAACCGCCCTCACGTTTATCCCGTTTCCACCCTTTCCGAGCCGCCGCGTTGTGGCCTTCGGCCGACTCGATTCAAGCTTCAAGCTCGAGTCAGCTTCAACGGCCCTGTCCGCCTCACGTTCCATAACTAACGTAGCTAAATTTCTCATAGGCAACGGGCACTCACTTGCAGTACTGCAGGGTGCGCGTGCAGTCGCTCGTCCATTGGATTTGAGTGGACGTAATGCTCGGCTGGCCTGGCCATTCTTTCACCCACCTGTCGCGTTTCGTGAGCATTTTTCGCAGCGCTATCCGACACTGCTTCAACACTTCGCGCAGGGTCGCTCTCATCGCGGTTTCTGCAATTGCCACCATTTTATTCACGAACGCATCCCGCTGAAAATTTCCCACCCTCTCACCTACTGGTCTTTCCCTCACCCTCCACCCCTTCGCACTATTTCGTTCGCGCATTTTTATCTCTCGTTAACAGAAATCGAAGTTGCATGCCACCGTGCTGCAGGATAATTTACGGCGAGCGAGGGCCAATGTCGGGATTGAGCATAAATTATGGTCAATTTTCCACGTTGGCTTTTATTTACACGCGGCGAATGTACACTGTTGTAAATGCCACTCGGTGCTGAGCATACCACATGATACTGTAAATATTTGATGAAACCGCGTTCACACGTTGCTGATCTTTCTCCTAGTTTTCTACGACGTGCATATAAAAGAAGTTTGTCGCTTCCATATTTCAAGTGGTGGAAATGCCATTTTCGATTTTGCAAAAAGCAATTTACGATCTTATAAATTCTTACTTCTTATATATTTCCCCAACGTGTGCACGCGTTCATGCGTGTAGATTCCAATGAGGGGAATGGGATTTATGAAGATAATACTTAAACTTACAGAACAGTAACTACTATGTGTCATAGAAGATAATCGGATTTTAAGATTAAGTCGAGATGGATTTCAAGTCATTTTTAATCAAATTCTTGATCAAATATTTGATATATTGATTTATTATTCATTCCCTAAGAAAGTTATTATAGAAACGAACTCACCGAGATCACGTAGCCAATACTCGACTTGTCCCTCCAAGAAAACTGGCTCAATAAACTCTATGTACTCACCTTCATTTGAGTACATACCATCAGCCACATATTTCCCAATCATCGACTGAAAACGAAAGAGTTTCGATATCAAGGGTCTTGGGGACTGTGCAATTATGTAGAAAAAACAAGAACAAGAGGCTAGCGGTGGTGAATACCTTGCCGAACTTCAAGGACTTGATGTTCACGAAGAGTTTCCTGATGTTTGGCTGCATGAGGTCCGGTCGTTTAGATTGGGCCAGGATCTCCAATGTATCGTCGTTCGAGACGAAGTAGAGTCTTGGAAATACGCGTCTCTTGGTCTCCAGGTACTGCTCAAGCGCCAGTTCCAACGCCTCCAACTTGTCGTTGAGTTTGTTCAGGACTTCCAGCAAGCCAGCTAACAGGATCGTCGTGATGGAGAGCGGAGAAAAAATGCAAATGCTTTCAATAGAATAGATTTACATTATTTTACAGTACGCGTACACGTCGCTCGATTTTTTATCCTTTTTTATCCTCTCGCTCTCTCTCTCTCTATCTCTCTCGCTTTCTCTATTTTTAACACCAAAAACGGACAGACGTTTTGTACGTATCCATTTACATTAATACTCAGACTCAGTACTAGCTTAATTTTAATTCTATATAGTTCAACGCTCAGTACACGGTAAATATATAAAATGCCTGATTTAATAACCTTTCTTGTGATTAATTAATTATATTTCACACACTTTGTATTTACAATTAATACAAATGCTTTTTTGTAAAAATATAGTTAAACTTTATATAGAGAATGGAGAACATTTATAATACTGCAAGAATTTTTATCTTCTTATGTACTGATTGCATTTTTTTAACTTCTTAAATATTTGTTAAATTAATCATGTATAATTCGATAAATTTTTAAAGTTGAAGGTAAAGATATAATAGAAGTTGAAATACGTAAAACATGAATAAATGACAATGAGGGATAGAACTCTGGCGATAATTCAAGCGTTACATTAATTAGGTCAATTAGGAAATATAATGTAAAGACTTCAATAACGTAAATTGAATATTCTATTCTAGATGTGAGAATTATATACCGCTAAATAGTGATTGCTTAAAATTCTTACAAATTTTAAAAGTATAAATGTATACTTGTCAAAAATTTTATTGCAAATATATAATTAAATTGGATACTTTTAAATTTTTCTCTTCAAAGAATTGCGGTGCGTAAACTCGTTAAATTTTTATTCGTGTGCACGCAATAAAATACACAATACGTACAAGTTTTTTTAAAAAATTTAATTAGGATAATGTCAGTTATAATGAACAAGTTCTTTCTCGAACGTTTCTTTGATACATACGTGGTATATGAGTGGCTGGCAACGCCAAACCGTGGGAAGCCATCCTTAACGTAAGCTCAGCCAACTCGCTTGTCACTTTCTCAAAATCGTCCGTCTCTTTTGGAAGTTGTTTCTTGATATCGTCGGTGGTGAATACATTGTCAAGATACATATATCCTCTCTGTACTACCAACAACATTTCCAAAACTTCGCCGATCGTCGACAGACTCTGCTCCCAGTACTCAACTTGCTGAGCAAATGGTTCTACGAACCTGAGAAAATTCAATATAGCTAACTTAATTTAGTATCACATTAGAAATGTAAACGCGAAAATTCGTTTAGCAAGTGTAATGCACCTCGTTGACTTCATAGACGAAAGTTGCACCTGATGATCTTCCAAAGTCTGAATTAAGTCGCCTATATCTTTCAATTTATATATTCCTTTGTCTTTGTACGGGATCATTGTAATCGGCATCACTTCCCAAGTTTCCTTAATATGTTGGAGTCCCTGAAATGTTCGCCATATTAAATTCGTATGATCGTTTTGCAAAACGTACTGTTTTACGATTAATATATCATAACGACTCTTATCATTAACGATGACTTACGACTTCAATGCCGAGCTCCATCGTAGCCGTGTTTGAAATTTCGCTAATCTCCTCCGTAAAATTATGCATTTGCATTCTAATAATCGCATCTAGAGTAAAATCCTCCGACGTCTCATCGAAATCTTGAGAGATCATATCTTTAATACGTTTCCAATGTCTCGGTTTTATCGCCGGATTCTTCAGTATCGTTATTAGCGGTAATGTATGTCGAAATTTATCGACCTTCGACCTAAATATACACTCTTTAATATAATGAATTACATAAAAAGAATCATTATATACTCTGTTGTTTTTATTATAATAATATATATTATTTTAAAAGATTCTAAGAATATAAATTCAATACAATTTAAATACGATTTAATTACAGGATAATATTATCTCTTACAGTAATTCAGTTTTATTTATAATTTATAATTTTTTTCAATTAACAAGTAAAACTAACAAGTTGAAAAATATAGTTTTCTCTTTTTTCTAAAACACTTGATTTTTTTAGTTGTGTCATTTTTAAAGTAAGAGAACGATATGTGTATATTTTAAAAGGTATTTATAAAAATAAAAATATATAAAAAACACTCATTATAATTTGATCTAATTGATATAATATCTGTTAATATCACTTGTTAACTATAAAGCTGTTATTCTCTTTAAAACTTAAGAACTGTAATAATATTAATTAAATATAAATTAAAAATAAATTGAAAAATAAATTGATTTTTTTATTTTGAACTTATAGTGACAGTTTATAAATGTTTCTCTATATGAAGAATGTTTTTCCTTCTATATATTCTAAACAAAAAATATATTTTATATTTTCTTTTTATTTTTATAAGTTTAGTAAAATATGTTAAATTTTAGCTGCTGAAAATTACATAGCCATTTACAGAACGTGTACTTTGTTAGTTTCAAAAAGTATCGTCGAAAGGAGTGGAACAAGTATGCTTGGCAGTTTACGTAAACCGTGCGCTTTAGCGGTGCAAAGGTTAATAAGCGCTGCTGTGTAACACGTGGAATTAAGCATATTTTGTCCTTTGCGTTATTTCTTGCGAGGTACTGCATTGGTCTAAATATGCTGCTTATGAAAAAAAAAAAAAAAAACAAAGAGGAGAACAAAAACGCGTAATTGTTTTTACTAGTGTTGTTTAATTGGTGATACATACGTACCTTCCAAATCAATAAACTTTTTTTTGGATTTCTCGTATATGCTACAAAAAAAAAATATCCAGCAAAAAGGTCCACTCGCTACAACGTTTGATATTTGATGTTCCAACCAATCATCAACAATTATTGTCGATTACGTCCCTGTGCACGAGCCCTCTCATCTTGCTGTCATTTTGAAAAATGGCTATCCATCGTACGAGTGCAGTTTATACGCGGCCGACCGGTTTCTAGTTTTCGCGAACCGATAAATTGACATCCTGCTAAAGGATGGCTCGCAAACACTACTTTGCGCCTCGTGAAAAATGCACGAGGGCGGCACATATTTACCGCGCGTTTGAAATTGGATTACAACTGGGTCGCACCTGGTATTCTCGACGATCTCCCAATTCTTTTCTTTGAGCTCCCTATAGAGTTTCGTGAGTTTCCGTAGAAGGATATTAGCGGTTGTGTCCATCTCTTCCAAGTCTATCGTCCAGAAATTTCCGGTTTTGTAACGTTCCCAAGCGTCGTTCCATTCGTTCGTCAATTGCCACACCAATTCGATCACTGCTACATCCTTCGCAAGTAGAAAAGCATCGAAAAGTCGAATAAGCACGTGGAAGTGCACGAAGATGGTATATACGAACGACATTTACTTTATCGAGTTGCTCTAGTTCTCGCGAATCCGGGTAATTTATGCCAAAAATTGTCAGCTGTGATTTTAACAGACTTTCCCTGTCTCTCAAGGAATATATTTCCTTCCAGAAGACAGTTATCGAATTTAAAGCGTCTGTAACAGCAACATAATACCATAAGATAACTGCACTATAAAATAAAACAACATTCTCGAACAATACATCAGGTTAAAATCAATTTTTTTTCTGATCAAGTTGCTGCATTAATTCATCTAACATTTGTCGCCAAGCATACAAAAGATTATCATAATGGTTATTCGTGAGTTTATAAAGGCAAAGTTCACGTAAAAAAAAAAACCGATCCGGAATCGACAAACGCATTTCAAACAGTTGGACATGGTGCAAAAAGCGTGCTATGAATAAATAGCACCTTTGCAATCTGCAATAGGAAAGGTACTCGTTGGAACTTCTGTTCTATTTTTTTGAAATTTTCACAATTGTATTTCAAATTGTCGCTATTACTTATTGAAGCGTTTAACTCATTATAACAAATAAGTTGTAAAATATTCTTATCAAAAGTTTTTGTTTGATATCCTAAATATTTTGTGTTTTATTCCCATTTTCTTCTTATATCCTTTTTTCTTGTTAAATTTCTAAATAAAATATTATAAAATAATAAATATTTTTAAATATCAAAGAAGGATAATAAAAAGAGGTCGTTTTTTACTCATAAAGGTGTAAGTAAAAGAAATATTATTTTTTAATAGATTTTGACTTCCTACGATAATGTTAATAAAAAGTCGATAAGAAACACCTTGAAAATTGAACATGAACATGATATATTTGAATAAATTTTAATATTCTGACTTATTTTTCAAGGTGTTCCCTAGCAATCTCGAACTTTTTATTAACATTATCTTATTCAGGAAGTCAAAATCTATTAAAAAAGATGATATTTCTTTTATTTACATCTTTATGGGCAAAAATCAGCCTCTTTTTAATATTCTCCTTTAAAATGGTGAATAATATTTTACGCCATTCATTGTCATGCAAATCCATTATAGATTGCAAGATATTGTTCTAACGCAAGATATACATTGTCTCGAGGGGAGCGCTCGAAAAGATATGGCAGTTGATTTATGCAGCTACTCGACTTTATCTCACGACAAACGTGAATTTACACATTGGATAAGAATATGTAAACCAATTTACCATTTGAATTCCATTCGGATGTGAAAGGTCCTGTATCATTAAATTTGCGTATTAAGGAGGATACATCTTCTTCAAACCTCGTCGAATCAGTCAGCAGTATTTGTTTAAATTCTTCCTACGATTGTATTAAGACAATAATTAATAGTTAAAAAAACTACTTATTGTATAAATACTTACATGTGTAAAATTTGAGATTTCTAACATCTTAAGATCACGTCTAAGATCTTTCTTTATGTGTTAACATATTTTACAATGTACTAATCCGGGATTCCCCGGAATGTACTAATCCAGGATTCACCTGATTTCTTTTAAGCGATTTGATTTTTACGCAAACGATCACTTGAGGTGTTTTTACATACCAATTAAAATTGCTTATTTATAACATATTGTATACGGATTGTTTTTCGATTTTTTAAATATTTCAGAATATTATAGATACGAATTTAATTATAATTTTCTACAAAATATAGAAACCAAAATTAAACTAAATATGAAAATATAAAACTAAATATAAAAACATTTATAAGTAGCTTATTATGACAGTATTATTTAAAAAAAATAAAATTTAATTAACATAATATCTTTTTATTGTAAGTTTTTGATAAAGCTGCATATTTGAAAATTCAGATTAGAAAATAGTTATTAAAAAAGAAAAAAAACCATGTTAAATAATAGATTACTCATACAAAATAATATTTTACAACAATTGATATTTTTTTGGAATATAAAAATCTAGAATTTATTTCCAAGTTAAACGTTGAATTTTATATCATTAAAAATTATAAGTAAATCAATAAGAAATTTGCATTCTGCTGTTTACGTTTTTTTATTAACTAACTTTAACTTTGTAAATACCCGAATGTTCTTACTATGTAAAACTAATTTTTTTAATTATATAAGAATTTCTAATGCGCGGTGAAGTAACGTTAAAAAATTGGGAAAGTATTAATTGACATCTCATTTTCCCTTTTAGGTAACGTTGACGCCGACGTCGACACAACTCAATTTTTTATTACGAAGTTTCAAGAAGTTTTCTTTTATACCAGGAGAATATCGTACCTTTTTTTCAAGCAAAGTAACTTCGCACGTGGCAAGTAACTCCAAGTAAGCTGTCCAGCAGCGGTCGATGTCTTTTAATTTTCTCTTAAACTCATAAGTCAGAACCACTTCGTATTTTTCTGGAAATAATAAATTATACCTTCTGGTGTACTATAAGAATGCGTAATTATTTATAATTAAATAGATTAAGACAATTAATGTTCCTTCAGAATTCATTTATAATTAATCTTGAAATTTGAAATTATAACCATGTCTCTAGTAACGGAGTTAATACGTTTACAAAATTTGCAAATTGTGTTGCACATTCTTGAGCAATAATACATGGATCTTAACCGATTTTATAGAGCATCGACTTCCTTATTTAGCACAGAGAAACATTTAGAGGTTTACCCAAAGTTTGGCATTGCTCCTGGATCTTGGGGAACTCTTCCTCCTCTTTCGGAATCTCGGCGGTGAGCCTCTCGAACAATTGCAGCGCGGATTGCATGCTGATGAGATCCGTCGGTTCCTTCGTTATTCTGCAAACGAATGAATTCACGTACGATTCAGTTCGAAATTCAAAAAGGCCCCGCGACAGGATTTATGGGAGTAACGCCTCGCGAGCAACGCCTCTCCAATGTTCCGCTCAGCTTGAGGAAATTTACATTAATAGTATCGATCGAGGACTGAAAACGAATATAACTGAAGGATTCAATTATGCAATAGAGTGGAATACATGATCACGCAGACACTCTAGGAAAGAATTTTTAGCATAGTAATGAGCATAGAAATAATGTACGAACTACAGTTAATTCTTTTAAATTGAAAAGGGGAATAAATTTATGTGCGTGTTTTTTTTTTTTTTTTTTTTTTTTTTTTTTTTGTCAGATGAGTATTTAAATATGAATTTCATTAATAATTTATGCAGTTTTCAAATAATTGTCTGTAAAAAAAAACTTATGTGATTTAACATACTTTAAATTCCTTTTATCACATTACAAAAAATCTATTATCTAAAGCCTAAAGATATACGAGTAAAAATCTCTGAGATATAAAATGATTTTTTTCTCACAATCCTTTTTCCAGATTGAATTTTTTTTTAATCCTAAACGCAATCTTCTTTTCGCTTTGAATAACAACCCATGCGGGCAACTAACTTTGTAGAATTTTCAGCGATGTAATGATAAACGTGGTCGACCATTGCATCAGTCATGCGTAATAAAAGTGCGGTGAGTTTCTGTTGCCAGATTGAACAATGTTCGATGATAGTGGCTTTCAATCCATCAAAATTTATATCTAGAAAATGCACTGTCGCCATCGTTTCCTGTAGTCGGATGTTATTCATCACCTCGAGGTATTTACTTATGTCCGCATCGAAGACTGCCGCTGTTGGTTTCAACTTTTCATATCTAATTTAAATAAATAATAAGCAAAATAGTTTTATACAAAAACTTAAATTGTATATTTATACAAATTAAAATTATGTAACATATAAAAATGAATTGCTAATGCCCTTTTTGTTTCTTGTTACTTTAAAAAAATTTATAAAAAATTAAATTATTTTTAAATAAATATTATAGCTGCAAACTGTAGCAGTTGTTTACATAAATCAAGTAAGATTTTAAATATATTTTTTTATGATAATATTAATGGTAATACTTGTTATGTTACCTTTGCATGTATAAGTCTTTATTTACTTCCCACACATCTTTGAAAGGTTCCCAGATCTTCATATAACTTTGTATTTGAACAAAGCAGTAACTTACTTCTGCAAATTGATAGATCAATATAGCATAAAATTAAAGGTAACATTAAGTCAAAATTGATAAATTAATATCAAATTAAAATTACATATTAATAGTGTAACAAAGTATTTCCTCATTGAATCTTAGAAAATTAAATTAAAGTAGGAATTCTAAATTGAGATCAATTTCTGATAAAAATGATTAAAGCAATTTTAATTAAAAGATTATTAATAACTATATTACGATAATCAATATAAATACAATTAAAAATGGAACTATAAAGGAAGACATGGGAAGCTTTATGATACAGCACCATTATTGAGTCTTTCTTGGAGTTCAATCAATTCTTCGTCCACTTTATATAACTTCGAAAAGGGTAAATTCTTATCTGGAAGCATTTGAAACTTCTTAACTAGCCGCGAGACATCTTTCAAAGGCTCCAGTAAAATATTCAAAATGTTTCCTATGACTGTAGCTATCTCCAGGAGGTTCGGTATAAGGCTTATCTAGATAAATCCATAAACTACTTAGAGCTTCTGCTCATATTTCCTGTGCCTTTTTTTTCCTAATAAATAACTACAAAATAATTAACGAAAGTATTTTTGTCATATCGTCAGATTGAAAAATGTTAAATTATTATTATCTCTTTACATACGCAAGAACTTCATGATGAAACAATGTAATACTGTTGCATGGCATGTTATACATGTTATGCATAGTTATGAACATACTTTGTTATCGATAATATCTGCTTGAATTAATAGAAGAGGTGAGGGTCCTGTCGTGTCAGTACCATGAAGAGCTTCGAACATGATGGTCAAAGAATTCTTCAAACACAATCTGATGGCTTCCCCAATTACCGTATCGATTTTCATTAAATAATCTTTCCATTCTGTGTGATTCTGATAAGAAAGAAACAATAATGAAATTAAATATAACAATCTATCGAACAGTCATACAGAAATTAGTACTTTTTATACAAAGAATTTAATTTTCATATAAAATAAACTAGAATGATTGTATATGTGTATGAATATGCGGACATGTTATGGAAAAATTTGATGCGCTTATCTTAAACGTGTTGAAATTAAAAGACTATTTAATTTATGAAGAAATTTTTTTAAACATTGCCTTTAAAAATCAAATGTCATAGAAGTCAGATGTTCATTACTCTTGCAAATTTGCTTTAATTAATAATGTATTCTACTACGATATGGATTACTTTCCTACGTTTTTTCTCTCTTTTTTTATTAATGAATTCTCAACACATTTATTAATATAACTGACAAGAATATTACTTTCTTACTACTTTGATTTCCGATATAATTAACTCGTAACGCACTACACAAAATGAAGAATACGTATTTTAGAATTATAATGAGTTTTGTAATATTATATATATTTGTTTTATAGCGATATTTGAATAAGTTTATTGCAAAAAATGATTTGTTAAAAATGACTTGAGCGGAGGATTCAAACGTATGTTTCTGTCCTTTGTTATTATTATATGAATTTTATGATCTAAATTAAAGTTCTTTTGCTACTAAAAATATTTGCTCTTCAGCCCTTCTTTTGCCTATATTTATATAATAATTTTTAATTTATATAATATTATTATATTATTAAAAAGCATAATATTTAATAATCGATTATCTTTTATCGAATAATTTTTTTATTTCAAATAATTTAATATCTAATAATATTAAAAAACAGAAGTAATAGATAGTAATAGGTTAATTGGAATCAGCGATACACAATACGCAAATTATTTGTAAAAAAAATGTTTTTTAATGGCTCAAAAATAACATTAGAGTACAAAAGCAAACTACATTACAAACATTAACATTAATTTAATTAGTTTATTAATAATTTTGATAAAAAATAATAGATAATTATTTAAAAAATAATAAGTAACATACTATTTCAGAAAAAATAGGTAACATTCTATTTCAGAAAAAATACTCGTTTAGCGAAGTTGTAACTCTTCGAGACTTTTTAAATTAACCGAGAAACTACGTGCACATGGTAGCAATCACGTTATGGAGCGACATATCGTAACACGAATCTGCCATAAGTACGCTCCTTACTTCTCCAACTTTAGTTACACAAGAATTGCTTTGTGTAACTTGAGGGTGCGCAACGTACTCTGTTTTCTCCACGGATATTTTTTTGTCAAAGTTATTCGGCCATTTTTACATTTGTGTAGTTTTTAAGGGAAAAATTCTGGCACAAGTCGTCAAAAATTTGCCGCAAACTAACAAATGTGCCTTGCGGCACTTGCTCAGAAGTTTGCAGAAAATATTTAAAAAATTATGCAATCTGCCGTAAATTTTTTAAGTTGATTTAGTAAGAAATTTATTCAGGATGTAACTTCAGACATAGGATGCAAACATAGATAGTAAATAATTAAATAAAGATAGCAAGGAGATAGCATAAGTATAAAGATAAGTAGGTAGTAAATAAATAGTAGAGATAGCATAGATAATAAGTATAAGTACGACGTGGAATAATTAAATAAGTAGTAGTCTTTAACATATAGTCTTTATCGCACTAACTTTATATAATTTATCCACTATGCCGATAATACCATGGTATATTTGTTTGTGTTTATTAATTATGTTAAGTAAAATGTATTTTACAATGATCACACAAAAGCTATAAAAATTATTATTGTAAAAAAAGGTCTAATATATCAATATTGTGTCATACAGTATTACACTATTATATAATATATTATTATGTATTCATGCATATCAGAAATTATTATATAATTATAGTTCCTATAGCTAAAACATCAAACAATTTAATTTCGATAAAATGAAAAGTCTTATGTGGATTATCAATGATATTCGATATGAAACGTGTTAATACTTTATACATTATTGATGCGAACTTCTCTTAAATTAAAAGCCATTTTTAGATATATTAAAATCTTGCGGGTCGCACAATGTTTTAATATTTTCTGCTGCGAGCCAATATGGCTGGTCACAAAAAAATTAATTGGCGGACCGCGAGTTGCACATTACTGCTTTATACTATACAATATTACTAAAATAAAAATTGCGTTTATATTTCTCTCTCTAGAGTTATAAAGAGATGATATATTTGATCATACTTCGTATAGTTATGCCAAGAAAGCTGTACCTCTTGTATTACATTCTTGAAGCCCTCATAAATCTCCATGACATTCAAAAATACTATATTGAGTCTTTGAGTCATAACTTGGAACGTCTCGTCTCTGGAAAGTGAGAAAGTTCGACCGATGCGCGCTCGCCAAACGTTAAGTTTCAGTCACGCGCTTGAATTTGCGACAGCAATGCGAAATGGAAATCCTACCTTACGTCCAAAAGTTCCTTCTCCAATGCAGACAATGTGTACGTGTAATTAACCCTTATCTTAATCATTGGAGCATCGCAGATGTTCTCGCAGATTCTTACAATTTCCGAATTCGAGTTCTTGTAAATATCAATGAAGTTTTGGAGCTAAAAGGATAAATTAATATTTACTATTTTTACCATTCGATTTACATATTATACAATTGTATCAGTAAGAAATAAATTGCTTTTAGCTTTCGTTAATTCTAAAATTGTAGCACATATAGTTTCTTTTTTTGGACATTTTCTTTTTGATAATTATTCTTTATATTTCTTAACTATAAAATCCTAAATATGCAATTCATCGAAAATTCGTAATAGAAAGTTCGTTATATTAATTAAAATTTTTATTTTTTTTAAATACTCTCATAATAAACTACTTAACGTGTTTATTCTGTTTAATATTTGTTTGATTTCTACTTTTTTTCAGAAAATTGATATTTATCATAATGTTCTTAAATAAATTGGTAAATAATGTACAATATGTTATTAATAATAATGATTTTAATTGGCATGTAAAAATATTTATTTTGATGATCATTTATATAAACATCTACAAAAAAAAAGAGATAATCCCGGATCGAATCAATGTCTTTACATCTTGTCTGTAGTATCTATACTCTATGTATCTATATAATGATTATTTTGTTATATTTTCGCGGGACACAAGACTTCGTAATTAAATGTTCAAATGCAAGTGAGAGAGCTTCTCTTGGAGAATTCAAAATTAAATTTTACCGCGCGGTTATCGTACATATTACATGAATCTATATGGTTTTCACACATGGACGAGGTAAGAGACTTTAAGCGTACATTGACCGTTTCGTGGAAACAATTCTCGATGTACGAGTCTACGTAATCCGTGTTCCACGTCAGCTTGGTTAAGCCGGGATTGATCTTCCGGTCGAGCTGCCGAATTAATTCGCGAAACAGCGCACGTTCTGTCAGCGACAATGCTGAAAAATAGAAGTTTCGCTACGTTGCAAGAATATTCTGCTACCATTGCGTGTGACTGCAAGTACGAAGAATGTCGCTTTCATCGCGTGCATTACGGGCATATACCCTGTTTGAATCGTGTCATCATGATATTTGCATAAGCACTCACATTTTAGTCGGGGAACTTTTTCATTATAGCGTAGAAAAAATAAATTTAGCTGTTCTATATTCATTGTACACGTATATCTAGATGTAAGTTATAGAATGCAATGTTATATAAAATAATTTGCAAAAATTATTTTTTAATAATTCATGCATACATTAAAAAAAATTTGATAGTAGAGATAACGAAAATAATTTTTTTAATTGCATGTTTGATATTAATGTATTTATTTAATATTTTCATAATTAAATATGACATATACTTGTTAAGGAAGTTATTAAAAAACAAAACAGATCTACAAAACAATTTAATTTTTTTGTGCTATTTGAAAAGAAGAAAGTTTTCCATGTTTTTAATGCGTTGAGTCAATAAATGAAACTGTTTTTATCACATTAGACTTTTGACAAAAATAAGATTAAAACGCCTGAAAAACGCATTTTTTTGTTTTTGAGAAAATTTGTAGCTGATGAAACCAATCTAAGAGAAATTTCAAAAAGACCTCAAATTAATAATTGGACATTCGTCATGAAGAGAGAGAGAGAAAGGTGAGAAAAAGGGAGAAAAAGAATGATAAAGAGGAGGAGGGGGAGATCGAGAGGGGAGGGAGAGAGGGAGGGAGAGAGAGAGTATCAAGTAAAACGATTGCCCTATATAGTTCCAATGCGAAATACCGTTGTAAATAATAAAAATTTTAATAGTGAAATTAATATATGGGACTGAAGATGCTTTTTTGTTATAAAAATGTTTTTTTAAAAATGTTTGTTTAAATAATTTTTGAAATACAACGATTTTTCCCCCCAAAAAAATGACTTCATAATTCTATTATAAAAAAATTGTATAAGTCGCATTTATTGTAAAACTTTTTACTAAATTTGAAATTTTATATAACTGCATAAAAATTTTATACATGGGAATTGCATAGAGCAATTGATATACTTGACATTGTGTGTGCGATTACATCTACTCCTAAAAATAACGCCAGAGGTTCAATGTCTGTAAGATTCAATATTTTTACATCAAAAATTGTTCAAGCATTAATATGAACTCTTTTTGAAATGTCTTGCACATCGAATTCATTCAGCTGAATGAATTTTCAAAAATAACCAAGAACGCATTTTTCAGGCGTTTCAATCTTATTTTCCTCAAAAATTTTTCTTATTGTGATGAAATATTTTCACTTATTTGAGGCATCAGAAACTATACAAAACTATTCTATTCTAAATAGCAAAAATCATGCAGATTAGTGTAACTGAGAAATATTATTTTTCTTATCTTTACATCAATGAATTTTATGATAAAATTGCTATCATGTTTAAAATAATTAAAATTTTATTGTATTTATTAACATATCATTGCTCTTAACTAAATAAAGTTTTCTTATTAAGAGCAATAACTTTTTCTTGGAAGTGAAAAAGTAATATCTTCTTCTACAAAATAATAATTTGTACATTAGTATTTGTACTTTCACATGGTAATTGATTATTGAAAACGACAAACCTTCAATAATCTTGTTGTACGCCAACGTGACAGCGAGGACGCTTTCGTAGATAAAGCGTAACGTATCCCACTTGTCGTATATCTGTTGTATGTTCACGGGTATGCTGAATCTGAAGCTGATCCAATAGAAACACTCACGGCAGAGATTCAGAATATTAGGATCGATGTTACACTCCAGCAGGCCGGGCTTGCTACTTCGCCGCATCAGACAGCGATCGAGTTGCGGCGGGTTATCGCCGACATCGTACAACCATTTTACGTACAGTTCCTTCGTGGAGTCCTCGATGGATTTGATCATGATATCTTCTTGATGATTGATCTCTTCGCTCATGGCGCAATAGGGCATCCATTCGGCCTTCTGCAGCATTTTTCGTGTCCATAATAGACGGTCACCTTTCGAACGAAGATTCAACGCTCTACCGGCGTAGTACGGAGCGATCGACGAATATATTTCCTTCTCATCCAGAATCTCCTGCTTTGTCCGTTGAATATCTTCAGCTAAAAGCTTCCATATCTTGAAAATTATTAGTTTTTAATGTTACTGATTGCTTCAACAATTTAAAATGTGACTTCAGTAATTTGAAAATCTCTAAAAAGATTTATTTAAAATTTAGACAAAATAACTATACAAACTGATAAAAAAATAAGTTTTATATATCTAAATTTTTCCGTAAATTTTAAATTCTTTTTCTTGTATAGAATTACTATCTTGTATAAAAAGCTATTATAATAAGATAAAGTATATATAAAATACTTTTACAAATTTTCTTTATGTTTCTCGAAATTAAAAAAAATTATTTACTAAATTATTTATTAAATTAACAATATCTTATAGGACCGTATATGTGAAAATACAAACTTTAGAAATCAATGTCTTAAACGTAAAATTTTTACAAATTATTGAATCCTTCTTACGCTGCTATTTTTGCTATCAAATAGGAACTTTAAATTCTTGCGATTCAAATAATTATAGAAGCTCCGTAAATTTTCTATTCCTTCGTGAATATTATTAATGTTCATAAAGACTATGGCTATTAAGTTTTCGATGATTATCTCTAAATCCTTCATTTCAGTACGAAATATGGTCATATCATCGTGCCATGTAGATTCGTGAACAGAGAAAATCTTGTATGAAATTGCTTCGATTTTACTCAGAGCGTCATAAAAGAGTCTTTCGATCTTTTGGCATATTCTTTCGTGCTCTTCGCCATTTGTACCACTGAATTTAGGACTTAAAATTTGAGTGGTCTCATCCAATCTGTGTTGAAAAGTCATATTATAACTTGCAACTACTATTACGAAAATATTAATTTAAGCATGAGCAAATTCTAACTCTGAAATAATGTAATATCTAATTACCCTGATCGACAATAATTTTGTTAAATGAGTAATTTTGGTTGATTCTTATATATTTTCTGATGCTGATTCTGAAAATAAGATTAGAGTTTATCTTATGGGCTTCAATTTCTTCCAACCGTTATATTTCTTTTTAAAAGCTAAAAGCTTAATCTTTTTGCTAACAACAGCTCAGTGTTAAAATCTTTTTTTAAATTAAAATAATTTATTTTTCTTTGAAAACTCTTATAATAAACAGAAAATATTAAATTCGGTAGCTATTAATTATAAATCACTTATTTATACATATAGTAGAAGGGATAAATCGAAAAATCTTTAATTTTCTCGTAAATGTAGCTAACAGATTGTAAATCAGCGAAAGAAATATTATTAGAGACACTCTATTAGATTTAGCATAAAAAGATTGAATTTTGACGAGAAATGAATCATCCAAAAGAATTAAAATTTACAAAATTTTTAAATGCATGTTACTAAAAAATTCTGTCTTCATAAATTTGGCAAACAGATTTGAAAATATGGAATAAAATACTATAAGATTCTTATTTTATCAACATAAGAAAAATGAAATTTTGTCGACCAGTGTTATTCTCATCTATTATTCTATTCAAAGTTTTGTATAAAAAAAGTTTAGAATTAAACATAACTATGTAACACTTAATGATATATTTTATAGAATATACACTCTATAGAGCAACAGTCCTGTAAAAAAGTAAAATTATTGTTTTATATTTATTCAACCATAAAAAAAAGGATAAAGTGGATTATTCTGTATACACAGCAGCAAATTAAAAACGTTTTTGTTTATGAATGGAAAATAAAAATTAAAGTAAAAAGATGAGATAGTGTATGCAGTTTTATCGTTGGTTATATGCTGTGCAGTATTTGTAAAATACCTTGCAAAATCAATCATTGCTTGACAAATCTCGATCATATCTTGACACCTGCCGAGGAAAACGTTGATGTAAAGAAATATGTTCTCCGTGTCTAAGTCCCAGGAGTGATGCGTGAGATTGATGTGAGCGCTCGCGATCTAGAACAGAAGAGTTTATTTTTTTTATTAAATATTAATGAATACACTAAATCAATCGATCAGTGGTGCAAATTAAAATTTTGATTTTAAGTGTTGATACTGAAATAAAATATACTCTGCAAAATATTTGGATTCTGTGCTCCAATAAAGATATAAAGTAGAAACTGAGCAAAAAACGGAAGATTTGTTGTGCCAATGTATGAACAGCGAAAATCTTGTGCGAATCCACTTTGCTTCGGTTTTACTCTTTCGACAAAAGTCGAAAAAATGTTCATGAAGACATTTTATTATTACTATCCGCTTTTACACGAAGTATTACACAAAAAGTAAAAATGCGAAAGACTGGAAGAACTGAATACGCGCGTTAGCGATCCGTGAAATCCGCTATGTAACGCGATTGCACGGATTTCTGCACAAAAGTCTAAGAAGTCATGTCACCTATTCCTTCGGGCACATGGCGTGCTAACCCCTAGCGCAACTCGAGAACAAGTAGTCGAGAGAGCCGTCGCGTCACATCGTTTCCCAATTCCCATCTCTATTCTGGCTTATCTACCCACGGGAAAAGCGTAAGTCGGTGTTATATTGCGATCTCAACTTAAAGCGAAAGCTCTTTTTCGCCACTTTGTACTTGTAAGAAGCGTCCTTCGAGTCATGCATGTAGGCATTCCATCTCTCTCGCTAAGTTAATTCCATCAAGCATTACAGCAAGCAATTATTTATTTGACTCTAAATTCGCAGAAAATTGCTGGCTGCCTCGCTTCGCGCTTTGAATTATCATATCTAATCATAATTACCACTAAAATCACTTTGTAACTTCCGTATTAATGGAGAAATTCATCCTCGGGTTGTCCAACAAGGATTCTAAGTAGCTAAAGTAGCCGTGCACACATAATTTAATGGGAGTTTAACTCACCGACTGGAAGGTGAATTTGCAGACAGCATAAAGGACTACGTTTTACGCACATCATATATAAGGTTACAAAATGGCCTTTGAGCTTACACGTACTTTACAAAGATGTACTTTTCCTTATTAATTATTAAAATAAATACGTGTACAAAATTTGAGAATACTTCTTTGTCGTTATAATTATTACAGAGAAAAACTTATTAAATTAATTAAAGTTATAGCAAAATTCGACTAAAAGTATTTTTTTATGCAAAAATTCAAAGAGAAGTTTTAACTTAAATTAAACTTTGGTAGGGTGTAATAATTAAAGCGTATGTAATAATTAAATGTTAAAAAGGTACGTGACTTGCTGTACGCCACGCCGAATAATTATTTTACTTTACAGTTTTATATAATATTATAATAACCTAGAATTCATAATATTTCACAGAATGTTTTATGTTTTATAAGAATAATTTTCAAGATTTATGTTTTGTTTGATGTTCTTATATTTTTACATGTAGAATATATACATTATATTCTTATATATAAAATGAATTATTACAAGATATTTTCAACGAGTCTTACCTCATAATAAAGTGTCTTATAATCCTCACACAGTTTGATACACTCGTACAAAATCTGTATACTTTTTCTGGTTTTTCCCGCAAATATATCTGCCAAATTGATAAATCCTTTGCACATGACGACAATCTGGTTGCTGAGAGCGGTGAAGAGATTGCTTATCCTCTCGCGGGTATTGTAGAAAGGGGAATTCAGCCAAATCGTCCTGAAGAGATGCATCATTTTTGGCAGATATTGAGCCACGCTCGGAGGAGTTGTACAAGTCTTCAACTTGGCGAGAGTGTCCTTCAGAATGCTCAAGAACTCAATGTTCGATTTCGCTTCGATTATACCGTGCTCGATCTCGTCCTTTAACATCAGGAACTGACGTATATAAGTGGACTGCGAAGCCAACAATATGTTGATAATAAGCTCCACCGTTTCTTTCTGTAGCTGATGACTCAAACCGCAGAGATTGTCATCTAGCGTATAGAAAAAAAGCATATATTTAAACAAATTAATACAGCAATGACACAATCTTTCTAAAATTTCTATACTTATAGAAAAACATGGCAACTATAAAGATGTCAATTGTATATACAAGTTTCATATGTAGAATTAATGTAATAAATATTTAAATAAATTATTTTAGTTTTATTAACAATAATAGTTTATTTAACTAAACATTAATTTTATAAATAAAACTTACATAATTGTTACCTTTATATATATATATATATATATATCTTTATGTCTTTCTTTCTGAATGTAAATTTAAGTTTTCAATTTGTTCATCTATGAATAAAATTCATATAAAACAAATAGAATGTAAACGTGTGAAAAGTTAACATTTATACATATACGAATTATGAATATTGTGTGATCAAATGCTACAGATGATGTTAAATTTCTTCCTAACTCTATGAGTTACAAAGAGGGATTCCGTTATAAAACGTCACATTAAAGGAAACTTTTGTTCCTCCTAAGAAATTTCCAGACATACATTATCGGGAAACGATTCTATCCTCTCTCTTCTCTTCTCGCAGCCACTACGTCTTTTCCTAGTAGTAAGCACTTACATCGAGAAGTCCAGAAGTCATATTCGTCGTCGAGGCACAGTAACTCATGCGGGCTTGTTCGTTCCTGGTCAGAGAGGGCTGTTTTGATTTGGGTGTTCCAATAGGCCATCACACCCTCCAGCCTCTTCACCAACTCCTTATCGGCGCTAGCCTCCTCCGTGGTAAACTCCTCCCTACTCTCCAGAGGTACATATATCACGGTTAAGCCCAGCATTTTGTACGTGAGGTCCGTTAAATTGCACAAGAAGGTGTCCAGTTGGGTGTAGAAGTTCGCTTTCACACATGTGTTTTAGTGAGATTAAGGAAAAGAAAATCCAGGAACGTGATACGACATCGAACCTCGTTATCGCTGTTCCCAATACTACTATTTTTTATATCGTTCAAGCTGTCCCGGAGTCTATCACATAGAATTGTAGCATGTATCCTCACGATACGTCCGCTGATGGAGATTTATTGAGTTGAATTGTCCGCTGTATATCGAAAGTGATTGACTACACTACATCGTCATTGTCACATCAATTTACAACTGAAGCGTGCAACTGTAAATCTTAGCGACAAAAATTGGAAAAAGAAACATGATCGTTCTGCACTTGAAGTGAATCATATGTCAAACTTAATGATTAATGCAAAAAAAACATCATATCGGTTCCATACTTCAAAAGTGACAACTCAAAGAATTGAAATTCCCCCAAAAAGGAAAAAATATTTTTTAAAGTGGTAGAAAATTTTTGACTAATCAAATAATAAGACAAAAAAATATATTTTTAATATATGATATCAAATGTTACTTCTGTTATTTTTGTTTTACAGTTCTTAAAAAGTTACTATTTTAATAACTTTTTAAAATTCTTTTTTTTACATATGAGTACAACAATTTTAATAATTTGTTAATTATTTTTAAATTAAAATTAAATTCAATTTTAATAAGGTAAGGATAATGTTTATTTAACTCGTACCTCATAATAACTCGAAAACTTACGGTTTTTGGTGTGTGTGTGTGTGTTAAATTTTAAGTAAAGAAGCAATAACACTTATTTTTTATCTTTGAAAAAGAACGGTTTTGTTGAAGTAAAAATTTAGTTAAATCTAGAAATGATCTTATTGGACTATCAAAATAATTATACAGAACACTGAAGCTAGGATGTCAAAAGTTTTTGCAACATTGCTCATCATACTTGAGTTTTCCACGTAATTATTAAATTTTAATGGTTCAACCAAATTATTTTCAGATCTGTATTTAGCTAAGTTTTTAAATATTTCAGCAAAATCTCAGCAAAATCGTTCTTTCCGTATAAAGTCAAACATGTTTTGTAAATTTTGTTAAAGCACTAATTTGACACGTTTTATAAGCATTGTGTTAATTATATCTTGCATTAATCATACGGCTACAAGAACAAGAATTTAAGTCATAATTCAATCAAGAATGAATCCACGATCGCTGCGTATACATTTGGGAGAATAAAAAGCGCGACGCGTGAGCGGAGTTGTTGGGCGTCCTAACACAATTAACAAAGCGACGCTTCGATCCAGTTAAAATCCGCTCAGGATCCATTAGAAATAATGAAGTGGCTCCCGTACGAATGCAATGCAATCGTTTCTAACTCGACGGCAAAGTAATCCCGTTCGCGTACGTGGGCAAACATCGACGCTGGATTTACCAGCGGCGGTGAGTTGTGCAGTGCATTTAGCCGAAAATTATGGTAATAATAACTTTCGTGCAATTCCCAGGCGTCCCCACTTTCCCGTCCCGTCCCCCGCGGGACCAGGCCGGAACTTTGTGTCGTGCGTTGCGGTAACGGGATTGCAGCGCTAAAGTTGGAAATTCACTTGGTAATGTCATCACGTTAGATTGTTATGACCTTAAGCCAAAGCAACTATGGACGATCGCGATGATCGCCCTTGGCATTGTGAGACTGGCCCGTCGTGGCTCCTTTGTCATTGCTGTCGATTGAAACTACAGCCACTTATCGATCGTCTTTAGCGCATATGCGGGATTATTCGCCAACAGTCTACACGATTGACACCTAAATTACGACTAAATTATGAAATTTTTATTATTTATTACACCGGTAGATTAGAAACATTTGTTATCAGTTTCGTTAGAAAAAACAGATACAAAAATCTAAATAATCAACTAAAAAGATTATAATATTTAACCGTACATTACTGAATTGAAGTTTTTTAACGTAATTATTTGCAGAGATATTTCTGACACTTTAACATTGTATCTCAATTTTCATTATTTTTAAAATAATTTATAATTAAATAAATATTAATAATATATATTTAATTTTATACATTCTTTACAAAAAAAGAACGGTTTTTCTAGAATTATACTAATTGTAAAATAATTAAATATAAATTTGATAATAATTTATATTTGATTTTGTTATCAGCAAAATGATTATAAAGGATGCTCAAATTGATTATTAGGTTGTCAAAACTTTTTACAGCATTGTCGTCATGTTTGAATGTCCTACATAAATTATTAGTCCAACAAAACTATTTTCAGAGCTGTATCTGTCGAAATTTTTAGATACTTTCAGCAAAATGGTTCTTTCCAAGTAGATAAATTCAAAATTTTTTGTTTCATAATTAAAAACAAATTTATAAAAGCCGAGAATGTCTTAGACACTTTATACAAGAAATGAAAGGTTAAAGAAGTATTAAAGCGATAATATGAAAGCAGTATATAAATTTAGAGAATAGAACGTACTAATTACACATGTTATCCAGAAGAAAACAAGAAGACCAGAAAATTGACTACGGCAGAATGTTCGAAAACCCAATTGGATTGAAATTGCTTCGCAAAAATCGATCATATATCAGAACAGATATATATCGGATTGAATCATGGATTCGAGCGAGAGATAAAACGCGCGATGTCTCCCTTGGGGGCCTTTCGCTGGTGAAGCTTTTTAAACGTACATTTAAATCCGCGAAAAACTTTAAATCACCACCCACTACAAAATCAACTGGTCGCGAGCGTTTCGCGCGCGCGCAACGGGATTTGAAAGTTAAACAGAATTTACATTACACGACGAAGCCCAACCTCAAGTGGGTCACTCGGGGAGTTGCCGAGAAGACCGACGGGATATCGTGTCTGGACCCAATTAAAGTTCCGTAACTCGCGATCTGTACACGTACATTATTTACTGAGACGAAACGAAAAAAAAAAAAAGAGAAAGAGAAGCGAAAAAATGAAGAAACTTCGCCAACTCTTCCTGTTGGCCTATCGTTATATATAGTTGAGTTCATTCGTTCTACGGATTCGTTTGGCCCGAGTCTTTACAAAACTTTTCGCGTTAGTTACGCGAATTAATTGGGTACTTTGACGGCAATGTGATAACAGAGATGGAGGGCAGAAGGATACTATCGGGCCAGGTTTCGATTGCAAAAAAGATCGGTGCGAACATGTTCTGGATGATGTCTAGTATATAATTCTCCACCTTGTCGTTCATCGACCCGAAGAGAATGCGTTCGCGAAAGTTTTCCGGATAGAAAATCTCGTTGGGCTGTCTCACGAAGTAGGTTAGCTCGTGCACGGGCACCGTAGGAAATGAAAATTCTGTGGTCAGACTGCCGTTCACGTGATAAATGCAGAGGACCGGAATGCTCAGTTCCTGGAAGAACTCGCGAATGTCCATGTCGCATTTCCACGTCCAATCGTCGTCTGTCAGACCTCTCAGAGTCGTCATATCCTTAACACACTGAACCTGAAAAGGCATCGAATTTTTGTGAATACTTGCTTCTAATCCAAACTAATAAATCAATTTTTATTTTTCAACAACATTGTGTATTTCTAGAAGTAGCATATTATCTCGATGTAAAATGTAATTGAAATTGTTATTTGAATGTATTTATTTGCTTATAACTGATATAATTAAAGGATACTGTATTTATGTACATGCCCTTATGGAATAAATGTTAGAGTAAATACTATAAAAGTTTAACCATTAACTTTTTTTTGAACGAACATGGAAAGAATGATTTTGCTAAAATATCTATGGATCTAAAAATAATTTTTGTTAGACCATCAAAATAAGGTTTTTTTAAATTTAACATAATAAACAATGTTGCAAAATTTTTAAGCATTTTAGCAACTAGCTTAAGTATCTTACATAATTATTTTGATATAGCTTAAGGAAATCATTTTTAGATCTGTATTTATTTAAATTTTTTAATACTTCTGCGACAAAATCGTTCTTTCCGTATATAAACTGTAATTCAATCTTAAAATTACACATTATAGTTTGTTTGAGATAATTTTAGATTGTAAATCTAAGAAAAATACTCAAACTTACCAATTCATTTAAGTCATCCGCCCTATATGCTTGACGTAGCTCCACCTCTTCTACCTCTGCAACAATATTCATCCCGCTCGATAATCTCTATTGTAGATTGCAAGTAATGCCGCGTTTGCACTGCGAGATCCTATTTCTCTGTGCATTGCGACGACATTTATCGTCGGAAAGGCGACCTCGTAACTAATATAAAGGGCATTGGAAAGAGGAAACAAATTCTAAAGGCTGGCCGTTCGTTAGTCGTCAATTGGAACGGCGCGATGTGCCCTCCTAAATTCGCCATCCAGGTTAAATAGAAGACATTCGTTCCAAGAGGGTCTCTCGTTCGTCCCTATCATTCCTCAGGCCTTCTCCACGTCTCGGTCCCATCGCTGGGCCACCGCCGCCCATTCTGCCACCCATGCCTTTACTCTTGGCAATCTAATAGGAACTATAAATCGCGAGTAGCTAGTAAATCGAAGGAAGAGGAAACACGTCGCGTCGCGATCGAGGTGCTACCGTAGGCCACGTTGGGGCAATTTATCCCGCTATGATGGCGGACATTATGCAGATACGACGATGTCTTCTTTGGCGACATGCAACGACTTATCGGTCTCACGTATATACTTCTCTCAAAAATCATTGTTTTTAAAAAAATTATTAGAATTATTTAGCGCGAAATGAGACAAATTGTGAATGGATTTATGTCAAATTTTATATTAACAATGAAAATTAATGGACACATTAAAAGAACGATTTTGTTGAAGTATCTAAAAATTTAGCTAGATCTGAAAATTTTGTTAGAAACCATCAAAATAATTTTGTAAAACACTCAAATTAGTTACTAGAATGTCAAAACTTTTTGTATAGCATTGCTCACCATGAGATTCTTACGTAATTATTTTTTGTGATGATCCAATAAAATTATTTT